AGTACAAAGTACTAGAACATGTGTTTTCATCCTTTGTAACTGCTTTATCAGAATTTGAAAAAAAAAGTTTATTATGTCTTATTATTAACTAGTTGTCTTAGTGCAAGATAGAGAGTTTTTGTTATGACAGATGGAGTGAAACCTAAAACATTTCGATTGACTCGTGGATACAACTCAATTTTTTTTATTAAGTAAAACATCAACATGTATATTGAGATTAGTATTGGAAAAAAAAAACCTAATATTTTTTTTATTAAGATATTTTCATATTATATTTATTAGATGTGACACTGTCTTTTACCAGGACAAAAAAATAGAAGATCCTTTTTAACGAGTAATATCGGTAAAGGTTGAACCTACATCATTAGTTAAAAATAAATTCTTTCACAACTGTGCCTCTCTCTGTGAATTATAGATAATTTCAAAAGATTTATATCTGTCAAATGAAATTGAGTGAAATTACAAGATATATATTAAAAAAAGTCACTTTAATTATTCTTTATTTTATTAATCTATTTTTCCAAAGTCAACACTTGCTTTAAAAAGTGATTTGTTTAAAAATAATGAATGATAAAAATATATTATAAACATGTTACTAGCATTCTAATTTATATGTTAATTAATGTGTGGAAACTATATCACATTATGCAAATTCAGTTTATATACCAATGACTGGGAAATGTAAGCATTTTTTTTTTCTTTTTATTTATTTTGGGGATATATGAGTGTACATTCCACTCTGATTGCAGTACCACAGTCCAGAACCACAATTGTCTCATGGGCCCCCAACAAAACTTATGTGTGTCTCATTTTGTGGTAAATGCAAAACACGTTGCTATAATTTGGCTTAAAACAACGAATGCAAGGACCCCAACTTTGCTGTGTGATCGAAAGGGCCTCATAAATCATAAAATTCAAATATAGTAATCATGATCGTGTGTTTGAGTATTGCATTATTAAAAATATAATGGAATGTAAAAATGAAGATATTTGTCAAATGATTTAATGTCGGTGCAGTTTGATTTAAGAATGTTGATTAAAAAGTGAAAAGAATAATAAGGATTTAATGAAAAGTATAACATTTGAAATATTTAAAACTTGAATTATTTTTTTTTATTGAATATGCTTTTGCATAATAGTGAGAAGTGATATTTAACAAGTTATTCAGATCGGGTCAATTATAAAAACATGAGATAAGAAGATTTAAATTGACTCGTAATAAACTTTTGGAAAGATCTAACATGTTGTTTGTAAATATTAGTATTTTTTTTTTTACTAATTTTATTCTGAATTTTAATCAAACATTTTAGTAGTTTTTTTATTTGGAAATTTGATTAGGATTTTATAGATTTAGTTAAACTTTTGTTTGAACATAGTTTTTATTTCATATATTATAAGGATTGTATCTAATATTTTAGCCATATTTTTTTTAGTAGAGCTATATTATAATTTTATTAAGATTCCATTAGAATTTAATCATATATAATTTTTTTATATTAGCAATCACATATATAAATAATGAATTCGGTAAAAGTAGTAAGTTAGAAAAGTACATTGTTGAATAGAAAAAAAAATGTTATATCTTAACGTGTGGGTCAAAGATTTTCTTTTTTAATTATATCGATGTTCATGGATGTAAAATGTTAATGCATCGCAATGTATTTAAAGTTTTCCATATTGAATTTAAATATACATATATTTCTTTTCATTTCTCATATTATTTTACAATTTTCATCGTGAGAATCACATCAAATTTAAACCTACAATTTCATGTGTATTACTTAAATTTTCCACCACTATCTTTTCTTTTAAATTTAACAAATGGTATATAAAATTTTTCATTTTTGTTATACTGTTATTTAACGATGTACTACCATGTCATTATGGACGTAAGTATAACAATTACTCGAAACTTGAAAGGACAAATAGTTTAAATTTGTGTATCTAAACATGATATGACACTGATTTTTCTTTCTTTTTTTAGAATATGATACTGGCACAATTTTAACAAAATGAACAACAATCATAGTCTACTTAATTGATTTAAATGATTCTACATACAACACTCTTATAATGGAATAACCTATATTCTTATCACTTTCCTACGTGAAAACAAACTTTATATTTTTTTCAAACTAAAAAATTATTTTAATTCGTACAAAATTTAAATTTGGGACTGTAATTCCATTTCTATCTTACCAGATGTAAATTATATTTTTAATTAGGGTTGAATCTCACAATTAAACAAACTAAAGAAAAACATACTAATTGACATTTTGATAAAAAAATAAAATTAAATTAAAAGAACCATCTAATTAAGCCAAAAGTGGTAAGTTAGTGTATTATAGAGTGAGCTCTAGCGATAATGGAGGAGGTAAATTGGTATTTTAAATATTTGATTTGGTCTGAAATCAGTTGCTAAATATGCTGCTAGAATCTTGAAATACATGGGGATATAAGAAAAAGTCATTTGAAATTAAGAAGAGAAGGATATGAAATATGAATTTGTCCTTGTTTGTAAAATAATAAGCAATATCTGACAAAGTTTTAAATGGAAGATTTGCAATAAGATTCTTGGACAAGGGAACAAAATAGGACCATTGCATTGAATGAAGCCCATTAGTCAAACAAGTAGAACCAAAATGTGGGGAAATATTTGGGGAACAAACTTAACTTGACTGCTCAGATGGGGAATGGGTATTTGTAGGTCCAATGTGATGGAGTATGAATTGACTACGCCCATTTTTAAGCAAAGGGTTTCCAACCCATACTTATTACTCAGTACTGATTCATTAGAGGGACTCTCACATATATACGCTCGCATGTCTTTGCCATTATTGATGATGTCTAGACCATTTTATGTTTCATGCTTGACCATGTCTTCAGATTGCTCAAAAGCGACACATTAATATCATTCATACGTGAAGCTCTATGCTTTCTTAAATCTCAAGTTTTCAACTCCCACTACACTAAACCAGACATAATCATAACTAATTAACTGCTTTTTTTATGAATTTTTCCTCGTTACGATAAAACACACTTATATTTGCTTCCTCATCAAAGGCAGTGATTTACGTGTCCATAGCCTCTTATATATGTTGTGACCCATTTTTCATCAATTTGCCAATAATCAAGAACTGTATTGGTAGGTTAGAGTGCGTCTAGTAGCTTGAATTAAAGCAAGTTAGGTGTAGCGACTCGCTACCTTCTAAATTAGCAAAAGAAAAATGGTGGTGAGTCATTTCCTTTGCCCTACTTAACTTTATAAATAACTTCTACGTCTTTTCAAGTCATGTCCACTTACTCAACCTGCATTGAAAAATCTTATATATATATATAAGAATTTTCTTATACTAATGTAAATTTAAAATTTTTTACACTTAATATAAATCTTTCATTTCACTTAAATCTAACAGTTTATATTGAATATAAGAGTTGTTAGACTTACAGTGATGTAAGAAGATTTTATCTTTTCTCTTTTAAATTTTTCATACAAGAAAACTAATTTATTAAAATATTTATTTATTTTAATAAATTGAAGTGTTAAGTCAAATTCTAAAAAATATATGCATCAAATTCTGACACGATGTTAATTTTCACTTTTATCAAAGTATTAATTACACCAAATCCTGTTTTAATTAATATATCTTAAGTTCAGTTCACTTGATGTAACAAAAAGTTTGAAGTTTCCCTTTCTCAAAGACATGATAAGGCAATCAACGAATTTAAACATCCAGTAGGAAGATTTTCTCGGGGCATAAATTAAGAAATCTAACCAAGAAAAAAGCGAAGAATGTGAGGCAGCTAGGTGATTGAGTATTAACATAAAAAAGTGAGTATTACATCAGAAGTTGGACAGTTTCTTTCATCCCTTTGAAATTTAAAATAATGCAGATCCATATTGCATGACTCAATAATCCCGAATAAAAATACATTTGCAAAGTTTTCTCCTTGTAACCTTTTTATCATGATGCAATGGGGAATATAACTTAAGCAAGGTTAATACGAAAAAAAACACATCAATTAGAGTGTTGCATACAGAATGAACAAATATATTGGAATTGGATTGTCAGAAGACGACTATCTTCATGTAAAGGCACATGGTCGGCTTCTTTTTCTTTTCTTTTATGCCCTTTTGAAAGATTAGTTTGGATCCTCAAAATAAAAAAACAAAATCTAATTAAGAAACCCGAAAGAAAATGATGATAAAGATCTTTACGATCATGATCATGTTATTGAGATCATGATGCTCATCATGGCCATCGTCATCTCTTGGTCATAGCATCATTCGGGTAGGACCATATATTAGGGAAATTGCTTTGATCTTATGTATATGTGTTACATACATTTGCTTGTAGCTGTTTAAGATTGACACCAAAACCAAACCCATTGTTTTTATCCTAGCTCCTAGCTGCTTATTCTATAAGGCTCTTAATGAATAGTTAGCACATCTTGGTTGAGGCAAATAGATTGAATGCAATGAATTGGTGGGGTTGCATGTGATTGTGAATGACACAGAATCATGTGGGTCCGGAAAGGAGTAGGAAAAGGATTGACGCACGAGTGAATGAACAGGAACATAGAGAAGAAGCCCACACGCATGAAGGATTAAGCAAAAATGACACGGTAACACGGAGGATAAAGAGAAGTGTTTGTCTGTGTTTGGCCTCCAAAACAACCAACAGAGAAGTCAGAGCAATCCCATCAGCAAGATATAACCAACGGCACAGGACAAGACACGTGGCCGACATGCACATAAACCATTGGACTAATAGAAGAAGAATATCCCGAGGTTTAGTGGGGGGAAGCATGATGAGGAATGCACAGAGGATCTTTTATCTATGCACACACACTTGGCCCCACACAAGCTTCTTTTCAATTAGCATAGGAGCACTCCAAAGTCATAGCCCACTTGCACTGCATGCTTTTTGTAATTCAATCATAGAGCACCAATTTTCAAGCTGTTGGTGAAGAACCAAAAGACACTGCTTCCTCCTTTCTTTATTTTTTTCCAAGTTTTTTCCTCTTCTATTCCATTCTATTTACTATTCAATGAATTTATCATGGCATGGCATGCTTTTGATACATTACTATGTTGACTAATCCCAACGAACCACTCCTTCTCTCTCTTCTCCTTGCTGTACCCTCTAACACTTAGTTAGGAGACATTTTGATACTCATTCTTCTTTGGTTGGTGTCTCCCTGGCTGTTTCTAACCGAAGCATAAGTTACAGATACTGCCGATTCCCCTCTCTCTTTCTCTCTCTCTCTCTGAGGATTACTTGCATAACACTACTACTAAAGCACTCAACTTTCAGCTTCGCATGCTCATGTACGTTGGTGCTAGGCCACTATGTCCCTCTAGCTTCACTTCCATTACTGATGCTGTTTCATCTACTTTCTTCAATTTTTACACTATGGTTACTTCAAAACTATGCATCCTTTCCAATTGTAAAGGTTTTTCTGCTTCCTAAGATTCCATCAATAACGCCAACAGGTATGTTCTCTTCTTGCTTCACTCTTTTAAATTCCTGAGAATTTCCAAATCCTTTCTTTGGTGTTCGATGGAGTGTTATTAATTATATTAGTGTAGATTGTGGATTATAGAGAGGTGTATATGGAGTATAAATTTAATTAAAGCATTAGGTTTTGACTTTCTACTCCTTAACCAATTAAGAGCTTAAAGTTGCCTTTTTTTTATATTGTTTTAAAGATAAAGAGACTACTTTTGCCAAAGGGTAATAAAAATTTTGTTAAAAGGGAAACAAACTGTACTGTAACGTGTGCTTAAAAAAATCCAAAAGAAAAGGGACAAAAAGTAAATGTTAAACGCCTTCTTGTGGGGGTGAGACGAGGTAACTGGTGGGATTTTATCTATTCCGGAAGAGAATGGCCATATAATTGGCTAAATACCTTACTCAATGCCATCCAAGATTAGAAAAATGCATGTCATTGATTCAGCGTAGAGCAAAGCTAGTTGACATTAACTATACACTTCTCTGAATTTCCTCCATGTTCATGGAATCGGCATCTGTGAGAGTTACCCCTATGAAAAAGATGGTATGCTGAGGTTTCCAGTGCAATCTTATTTGGAAAAACATGAATGGTTTTTCTTGGTCTATAGTTGAAAGCTACAAGTGTCATGCCACAAATACTGAATTTTGATCGCTTATACTACACTTTTTGATAATGTTATTTATTTTTATTTCTTCGCATCACATCAATTATCTTATTTCATTTTTTTTCCCTTCTTTTTAACTAGATTTCTTCTTTGGTTATACAAAAAATTGTATAAACATAAATTTCATTTTTTTTACTCACATTAGTTATTTAATTTCAATTTCTTCTCTTTCTTATAGTACAAAAAAATTACAAACATAATATACATAAATATAATTTCTTTTCTGCTTTACCACCATTTGTCTGTGAAAGCACAGACCATGCTGCATGTCAGCTTTCAACAATGAACAGTGTTACAGTGGGAATGGCCTAGCACTAATATCATATCCTCAATAAAAAACGATTGTATATTGATCTTCTTCCGCTATTTATTTCCGTTATATGTTTTTTCAATAATTCAAAATCTGAAGCAAATCTGAGACAAAACGTAAATGGCCAGACGGTTTTATGAACTAATGATGTACTGAATAAAATTGAGAAGAAAAGTGAAACAAAGGAAGAAAGGAGAAAAAGTTGGCTTCCACCTTTCTTGATTCCTATATGCTTAATGGGGAATGGGATGATTGAGATGACCATAGCGGTGGACCACTCCGGGCCTATTATATTAGTTTAAACTGAAAAGACTACATTAGTTAATATATCAAAATTCTCAAGAGATACAAAGAAAGTGACTTAACAAAGTAGCCTCATAAAAATATTATTATTTGCCTTCGGTTAGGAAGCTTTTGGTAACACACTAGTTTTCACTTTCTCTCGGATTTTCATATCATTGTCTGAACAGAGCCATGTATATATCTTTAAATATATATGGAATCAAAAGTATATCCTCTAAAGAGATTGGGATGTGTATATTGGTACATATCTGTTTCGGATTTATACACACTTTTGAGCCAAATCTGAGCCACTGTAAAAGCTCTAATGATTTTTGTTGGCTCACCTAACATTTAATTCCCTACTTCCAAACACAGCATAAACATGCTTTACTGTCCATTCTCTGGCCAAGACCCAACAGTCAAGGTAATCATATATGTTTATGCATGCTCAATGCATTTTCTGCCGTGGTGCTGCTTCTTTCTTCATTTGCTATTATTATTAGGTTGTGTGGGGTTGGATGAGTATTCAATATCCATAATATTCAATTACAAAAAATTATGCTGTTGGCTGCATTCTACTTTAGAGTATTTTTTTTTAGTCTTTTTATGACAAACAGATTTGAAGAAATTGGCTAGGGATCAAGTCATGTAAGAGGATCAAGACAAGGGTCAACGTTTTAATTAATAATTATAATTAGCACTTTCCCATTATCAGCTCGCTTTTTATTTTCATGTTTTTTTTTCAGAATTTTGGGACAAAATATCGTATTCCTATGAATAACGTAAGATTGTCTGCCAACAGTTACTGAAAATTCTTGTTCAGTTTGTTGTTACATGTGTCAGGAACTGGCAGAGGCGGCTGAAACAAAAATTTGAAGCCTGAAAATTCAGTGAGCGTATTCCACATCCGCGAAACTTTGATTGAACTTCACCTACTCTATTCTACTTTAATGGTTGAAGTAACTTCCAAAGGTACAATAGTAGAAACAGAAGCGCGTGTTATCTTGCAAAACTCTCTAAGTAGTTTCTATTCTCGGTGGATGACATCATCTTCTATGAATTGAAGGGCTTTCAGTATTGTATATAAAAATCAAAATCAATGAGCTTGGGAGTGGTAGAGCCTTGGCTAAATAACTAAAACTTGAGGTAATCTTTCTGCAAAAAATTTTCTTTCTCCTTTATTTTAGAAGATTTTTCAGTTTCTCATTCATAACTAAAAGTGTGATGGGACATGACATCATGTCATGTTCTTCTACCTTCATCTATTGTGATTTCTAATTTTCTTGTCTCCCACCCCTTTGCGTGAAATGATGGAATCTAAGTTGGTGCTTCCATATTCTGGTGTTTCATGGTCATAAATAAATCATGGTAAATTATTCAGCCAAGCACGTTCATCAATCTCATGGATTCATTTCTGACTTTATGGGATCTATTGTAGTATCATTGAAGGTGCGATCTTCTGCATTTGCAGGCTTTGAAGTAAAGGTTTCTGTTGACGATTTGGTATACATAACAACAAATAAAAATGAAGTTCATGAAACTTGGGACAAAGCCAGATACTTTCTTCACTGAACAAGCTACCAGGTATTTTGCAGCAACCCTTTGGTTTAAAATCTACAAACAACCTTTTTACAAATTAACATGTATTCTCATAATGCAGGACTCTGATATCAGATATAGCTGCAGACCTTGTAATACAAATCAATGATATTACTTATCTGTTACACAAGGTATTGGAATTGGAATGGAAATGCGGTGTGAGTGAAGAGAAAATAAAAATTTAATCATTGGTTCATCTATAATTCTGTTCTTTTTAGCTGCAGTTTCCGCTTCTTCCAAAATGTGGTCTCCTACAAAGGCTTTGCTATGATTCTAGTGATTCGGAGAGTGTGTCTCTAGAGCTTCATGATATACCTGGAGGGGAAGATGCTTTTGAACTCTGTGCCAAGTTTTGTTACGGAATTGCCATCAACATAAGTGCTCATAACTTTGTACCCGCTCTCTGTGCTGCCAAGTTCCTTAGAATGAATGACTCCATAGAGAAGGGAAATTTTGTGGGAAAACTTGAGGCTTTTTTCAATTCATGCATTCTTGAAGGTTGGAAGGATTCAATTGCAACACTTCAGACTACTGCTACATTACCAGAATGGTCAGAGAATCTTGGTATTGTCAGAAAGTGCATTGATTCAATTATTGAAAAAATTCTCACACCCCCACCACAGGTTAAGAACTCAGATCCATCAAACTTTTCTCCACATTTCTGTCACTCTTACTTCCTTGGATATGTTTTTTCTAAACTTATAAATGATAATTCTGTGCAGGTCAAATGGTCCTACACCTATACCAGGCCTGGTTATACCAAAAAACAGCACCATTCTGTCCCAAAGGATTGGTGGACGGAGGACGTTTCAGATCTTGACATAGATCTTTTCAGGTGCATAATAATGGCTATTAGATCAACATATGTGCTCCCTCCACAGCTTATTGGTGAAGCTTTGCATGTCTATGCCTGCCGGTGGCTACCAGGCATCACGAAGCTTAAAAATTCTGGCAGTTCAGCATCTCAAACGGAAGAATCGAAGGAAAAAAACAGAAAAATTCTTGAAACAATTGTAAGCATGATTCCTGCAGATAGAGGGTCTGTTTCAGTTGGGTTCTTGTTTAGACTTCTCAGCATTTCAATTTACCTTGGTGTCTCCTCGGTCACAAAAACAGAACTAATAAGAAGAGCAAGCCTACAGTTTGAGGAGGCAACAGTGAGTGATTTGCTTTACCCTTCAACATCCTCTTCTGACCAGAATTATTATGATATAGAGTTAGTCCTAGCAGTTTTGGAAACTTTCTTGAAGCTTTGGAAAAGAATGTCCCCAGGTGCTGTGGATAACAGCTACTTTTTGAGATCAATCAGAAATGTTGGCAAGCTCATTGATTCTTATCTTCAAGTGGTTGCCAGGGATGAGAACATGCAAGTGTCCAAGTTTGTGGCTCTTGCTGAAACTGTGCCCAGTATTGCCCGAGTAGAGCACGATGATCTGTACCAAGCAGTCAACATTTATCTTAAGGTGAAGTAGTCATACCACACCTGGAGTGACTTCACATGTTCAATTTTCACTGTCTCCTACTTGAATGCTGCACAATTGCTCATGAAAAATATCACATTTACTAATGAAAAAAAAAAAAAAAAAAAAACTATCTATGCAATCATTACGGGTTTATGTTGACAATATAATATCCATCTGGTATACAAATAGTTTATATTAATTTTTTATACCAAGAAAATTGTCTATTACGATGTATCATATTTTTAGTTGTAGACTTGTGATATCTATACTAATAGTCTATTTTTTATTAAATAAAGATTATATCAATAAAAGCAATCCAACACTAAATGGATGATAGTATGTGACATTCTTTTTCTTTTGTGGTCCCAGACACTTTGAGGACCTTAAGACTAATAATATAGACAAAAGCACATGTCAAACCAGAATAATATATTTACGTTGAGCATTATACCATCTATATCAATATAAGGGTATAAGCAATACTTTGATTATCTCCATGGTGCATATATGAAATGATTAACAGGTGCATCAGGAGCTGAGCAAGGCAGACAAGAAACGGCTGTGTGGGATTCTAGACTGCCAAAGACTTTCTCCAGAAGTGCGTGGGCATGCAGTAAAAAACGAGCTTCTGCCATTGAGGACAGTAGTGCAACTCCTCTACTTTGAACAAGAAAAAGGGTCTAAGGCAACCACCAGTCACAAACTGCCAAAGCCACATGAGATACTTCTTGGAGCAAAACAAAGTAGAACTACAAGAGATACCCAAAGCAAACAATCTTTAGGCCAAGCAAAAGAATTCAATGGAGAAGAAGTGACAAGAAGCTCCCTTCCTGAAAGTAGAGAAAAGGATCATCACAAAAGTAAAAGATCAGATGGTAAGTTGGCATTGGACTTGGAAAAAAAGATGGTTATAAGAGGGGACATTGAGGAGACAATGTCAGAGAAGGTGAGGGGAACCAAAGATGAAAGTAGTTCAAGCTGCAAGGTGGACTTAGATCCTAAAAAACTTATAAGAAGGGCAAGAAGTAAATCAGAACATGGAGTGAAAAAGTCAGATTGAGAATTTGAGATCATAACCATAGTATCATAATAATAATAATAATAATAATAATAATGAAAATAATAGTAATCTTTGAAGAATTCCTAGAAGATCACTGTCTGCAATTTGTAACTTCAATTCTTATTATTTCTTTTTCACCGTGTCATAAATGTAAGCAATGTATAAATCCTTTGTACTATCTCTTTCCCGTGAAGAGTTGTATGTAGGGAAATGATTTTTTTTTTTACATCATTATTTTGCATCCCTTTGTTTGATGAAAAAAACAATAGAGGAAATGTGTATTCAGAAATGTCTTTCTTATTTTATTATTATAAAGTGATAAAAAAAATAAAAAGTAATATAAAATAGCATTGTCTATTCAAGCAAGAGGTCAATGTTACAAATGCACTTGAATTTTCTGGCACGATTGCAATTTCCAGCACATTTGGAAAGTCCAATGTACGGAAATCACTATCACCATACACATTGCCTTTGTGAGTTTGTGGACTCATCAATGAAAAGTGCAACATTTCAAAAGTTATAAATTTCATTAATTTGGTTTTCCAGAGACAAAGAGAGAGAGATTGAAAAATTAGCCATTAAGATTAATGATAAAACTAAATGTAAATATATTATAAATTATAAAATTATTAAAATATATCAATTTAAATTTTTAGTTCATAATTACAACTACTTATTTTCTCACTATTATTGTAATTTCCATCACATTTTATAATGAGAATATAATTTATATGTTAATAAATATAAATTGTTTACTTAAACTATAATATTTGAAGAATGATCTTCTCACACTAGTATAAGTTTAAAAACACTTATACTTAATTTAAATTTTTCATTTAACTTACAAATTTTTAATCTTATACCAGTGTAAAAAAAAAACTTAATATTTTATTTGATTAAAATAAATTACACCCACATTTTTTTAAGTTATTTACACTTACATTTTTTTAGGTTTAGCAAAATTTTATTTTGTATCTCTCTTTTTTTTTTACTCTACATAAATTTCTCTTAATTTATGTATCAACATAAATTACACATATTGCTTAATTATATAAATTATTTTTAATTTTGTATTGAATTATATAAATTAGGAAAAGTCAGAGTAACTTGAAAAGAAAAAAGAAAGTGTATATGTTAAAATTTTATTAAAAATGTCAATATAATTTGTCCTATTAATTACATACATAATTAATTAAAAAAGTTTATTTATTTATTACCTGGGAATGAATACTTCAAAATATGTTTTAACATTATAAGTTATAACATAATTTTTAATCTCTTACTATAGATAAAGTTTAAGTTTTTATTTTTATTTTTATCATAAATAAAGTTTATAAACAATTTTATATAATACAAATAAATATAAAATTATCAATCAGTAGGAATTATTTTAAAAATTGAAACCACCGCTGAAGGGGCACGTGGGAAGCTTGGTGAGCAATGAGGTTACCTTCCATTCCAAATTGAGGCCATTCTCATCTCTCTCTCTCTCTCTCTCCTTTCAATTCTCATTCTAATATTCTCTTTTCCGTCACTCTTTCCATAAATACAATCCATAATTGATTCAGCCACTTTTGTTATTTTGAATTGGACAGAACAACCGTTGTTCTACTTTACAATCCCTCACCTGTTTACCAACAATTTAATCAAAACCCCATTTTCTCCATAAATATATACAAAACCAACAAAGTTCATGTTTTTATATTTTGTTCCAAAATAACAATTTTCAAAGACAGACAAACATGTCCCAGAATATTGACTCTAACTCCCCCTCGCTTTCTCTTCTCTCATCCTCTTCCTTCTCACTCTGTTTTTTCTGAAAGGTAAACATCACTTCTCCATTTCAACATTTCTTACCTCTATGATTTCCGAGTTGGGTTTTTTTTTTTTTTAATTATTAAGTTAATCTCTGTAGATCTCATTTTAAAGCCTTAATTTTTGTTTTGATGTGTTTTGTATCGATGATCAGTGGAGATGTATCTGTTTATCTTTGCACGGTCAGTGTTCGTTTGAATCCTTTTGGTTCTGGATTCGAAATCTGCAATGGGGTTTCTTAAATTCAGGGTCATGTAATGCCTAGTGTCACATTGTTGCTTTGTTTTAACTTTGATTGTCGAGCTAAAAATTCCATCTTTCGTGCGAAGCAGTGTGACACTGTCTGAATTGTGTGCTCTGCTTTGGAAACTGTGATTTTCGATTACCTGATATTGGAAGTGATCGCGTAGCTAATGTGCTCTTCTATATTGAATCGGATTGCCTCTTGTCATTTGTAATCGATTTAATTGGGAGATTGAATTGATTAGAGTTCTCTCCCATATCATATTCTACTTTCCATGATTGACGATGCAGGATATTTGGAATAGTGTGAATCTGTTTTGTTGGTTGTTACGTAGCATTCTACTTGAATTGCTAAATTTTGAATTCACAGCACCTTGTACTATAAAGCTCTTTCTTTAGAGGGTGGGAGAGCTTTCCTTCCACGCATTGCTTTGAGATATTAGGTGGAGGATGGACAGATCGGTCTAATTAGGTCTGGTATAAAATTTTAATTGAATTGTTGAAGTACCTTGTAAAGGGGTAATGACACTTAGTTTATGTTTAGTACTATTAAATTAATGAGATGACAAAGGTGCCTAACTTCCATTAGTGGTTGCTGAAATGGAATTTGACTTTGATCATGGACAGTAAAAAAATTCTTTCTAGACATTTACACGTATTTATATTATGATTTCTCCCCCTGGATTTCAGGTATGGAGTGTTTTGACATCCAGAAGAGATCATGGTGCAGTGCCTAGACGGATTAAAGCATTTGTGTGCTACTCTGATAAATTGTTGCAATGCCGAGCTGTCAAAGCAACCTAGAGGTTTAGAAAATCCAGAAGTTCTTGCAAGAGAGACAGTGTGTATGTCATTATTCCCTATTTCTTTCCATCTTATGTTTGTGAGGAACTTCTCAACTGAGCAATAGACTAGTCATTCATTTCTATTACTTCAATAATTTTGTTTGAAGTTCTGAATTAGCTCCTATTATTATTTTCTTGCATCTAATTGTGCAAGTATCTCTCTTTTCGTCCTTGTCTTCCTTTTTCTGTTTTTCACAATATTTGGATGACATTGGTGGAAAAGGGTTCTCTAGAGAGTTATACAGCCTTTGACTGTTAATGGGAAATTGTGGCATTTGATTATTGAGATCAAGTCAGATAATAAAGGCATAAATAGAAGATTCTAGAATACAGTTGGATTCTGCAATTCGTACTTTAAAACTGACTAATTGTGTACAATCTGGATGGGAGATGATACTTGTTTTAACAATACCATTCTAATTACATAGCATGGCTATACAAAATATTGAAGGCCGTAGAGGACTTTAGGTCAGATGATAACGAGACTATATAATGTTCAGTTACTGATCTCTTGTTAAGACTTTATTCACTTGAATAGAATAATCATCTGTTATTTCTATTTATTTTTTTCTATCAAAAGCATACAAAATCAGGGATATAAACAAATAGCAAAAGAAGATATTTATATGTTTTATTATCAATGCAGTTAGCGTAAGTGAGATTGAAGCACTGTATGAACTGTTCAAGAAAATCAGTAGTGCTGTAATTGATGATGGACTAATTAATAAGGTGAGTTGTGCCATCCTTTGCTCTTCCCTTCTATCAATTTGTGTTATGAACATATGAAATCTGTTTCCTCAACCTTTCTGAATGATGGATTTCTTCCTAATCTACCCTTAGAATCATAAGTTCACAAATGTATTTTGTTTTATGTAAAATGCACTACTCATCAAAATTCCTATCATGTATTGCATTATTTGTTTGTCTTTCTAAATATTGTCTTTTTGTTTGTTTTTATGATTTCCTTATTTTACATGGCAGGAAGAATTTCAATTGGCATTGTTCAAGACAAACAAAAAAGAGAGCCTATTTGCAGACAGGGTGTGTAAAGCATTAACTTCTTTTGTTTACACAACTGCTTTCTACATTTCCACCCTGAGGAGAAAAAACCAATATATAGCACAAATATTTTGATTCATTTTTATGAAAATTCAACTCTTACACCATAGTTGTGGATGATATTTTTTATTTCCATTGTAAAATTGATTTTCAGCTATCTTTGTATACATTATATTCTGTTTGATTTGTTTTACCATGTTACTATATGGGCTAATGAATACGGCCTTATGTGCCATTATTGTATTTATCTTTGATTTGTTAGCTTCATGACCTTTTTGGAGCAATATATTTTATCCAATTACTTTGAAAAAGTCATTTCCATGCTGTTTACTTATGATGTCCTATTCTTGATTTTGAACCGTTTGTAGGTGTTTGACTTGTTTGACACAAAGCACAATGGGATACTTGATTTCGAAGAGTTTGCACGTGCCCTATCTGTTTTTCATCCCAATGCACCAATTGATGATAAGATTGAGTGTAAGAACAAATATTTAGAAGACTCTAGATATGTGATCAATATTTTATTTGGGTTTTTAATGGAAGGATGTTTCTTGGAGAGGAAGTTAGAGCATGTGTTTTTTCTATGGTTGTCTCTATTAATTTCATTACTGCATTTATTTAGTAGTAATTCATACCCCTGTTGGGGATTCCCAACTTCATGCAGTTTCATTCCAATTGTATGATCTCAAACAGCAAGGGTTTATTGAGAGACAGGAGGTAAAAAAAAATTCTTATGATGTTTTGTCTATTGATACTCTGATCTGATATGATTTTGATATCAGTATGTATTTGATATGCATTGATTATCGATGTCTTTGTGTATAGGTAAAACAAATGGTGGTGGCCACTCTAGCTGAATCTGGTATGAATCTTTCAGATGATGTCATCGAAAGTATTATTGACAAGGTGCTTCATTTGTCTGATGACTTAATTGCATGTTACATCTTACATTCATTGTGTGAAGCATTCAATGAGTAGTTTTTCTTTCATTTTTTGCTTTCTTCCCTTTTTTCAGTTCTTTTTATATTAATGAAATTTATTATTTATATTTCCTCTCTTCTTGAGTTCGTAGACATAAAAGCAATATTGTTAAGCATGTGAATTATATGCTATCCGTTCATACTAAATTTCCTTACTAAATAAAGTAAACCTTCTTTCAGCCTTACTTGTGTGAACTTCACAAGTTACCTTAGTTTTTTCTGCTGAGTTGATAATGGTGAAAATTGGCATATAAAATCATTCTTGTGCTATTATAATCTTCTCTGGAGATCTGTCACTAACAGTTTTTAACCTATTTAGACATTTGAGGAAGCTGATACCAAACATGATGGGAAGATTGACAAGGAGGAATGGCGAAACCTTGTCTTGCGTCATCCTTCCCTTCTGAAAAATATGACTCTTCAATATCTGAAGTGAGTTTCATCCCGTTACTAACCACTATTTGAATTTTGAAATTCTCTCACCTGTGAGGGAAATTTTGCCTAGCATTTTTTGGATGTGTTTGTTAAAATGAGCCATGATATTATTTTAAAACTATAATCTGTACTTGTTACAAGAAGAGGGGATGGTTTATTTCCCTTCACTTTTTACGGAAAAAGTTTAAAATCCTTACAAATTCAAATGTTTCTTAAATAAACTGAATAGGGTATAGTAAAACAGGACTGTAATTTTTAAATGTTTACAACCCATGCATCTTTCTTCTTCCCTGAAAACCCCTTTTATTCTCAATACTTCTTGTTACTGCATGTGCATGTATTCACCATAACTGAAAGTTTAGAAACTCCCTGGTAATGTATCTTGTAGTTAGAAAATAATAAAAAGCAAAGTGTACACATGCCTATGTGGACTATGCATGTAAACTTCGTACGTCATTGGTAGTATATTCTTTAAATGATGGTGATTTGGCATCAATGCAATCAGCGATTAATTAAATTGATTGTCTGGGGTAGCATTTCCTGTCTTGGATAACATTTCCAATATATCCATTCAATATGTCAAGGATTACTTTTTTAAACCAAGCTCTAGCATCTAACATCCAACGTAAATTATTTCCTCTGCAGAGATATCACTACCACGTTTCCCAGTTTTGTGTTTCACTCACAAGTTGATGATACTTGAGGCAACTACATCTTCCATGTCAGTTTCAGTGGCCTTGACTGAGAGTGGTCTTCAATTGGCTTGTGAATGATGGGTTTCTGTGTGAAGGATTCATTTAGGGATGGATTTGGACGTTGTTTATATTTTCATTGAGTATGGTAGAGATTTGTCTTCCCTTTTTTGGATAGATAGGTTAGCATATTGAACAAATGGGTTTGCTTATTTATTTACTTCATTTGAGAATAAAAGGGGAACAGAATAGAATATTCAGGTGTTAGCTCCTTGGAATTAATTTTGGTGAGGTAAATGTTGCCATTAGTCTTGTCCAAGCTGTGAAGGACGTCTTTGAGCATTTGCCAGCGTTGAGTTGAGAATTGCTGCTTCAATAAACTTGAGTGCATGCAAATTCTTGTGCCTTTCCTCCGATGTCCCTCACAAAGGGATCATGTTTCTTTCTTTTTTATATTTGTCATTATTTATGTCAAGGCTATTGACTATTAAAAATCAGTTAGTATGCTTTCTTGTAATTACATTTTTTTTTCTTTTGCAAGGGGATGTATTCGAGAAGTCAATTGAAAACATTTATTTTTTTAGTGCATAAAATTACAAGGTAGATTTTGTTTTTCTTTTTGCGTGTCTAAAGTCATTTGCCGTTCTCGTAACACAGGAAAATTATTAGCTAAAATGCATTTGAACAATTTACAATGCATGTTCAATGGAAGGAGATTTTTTAGCTTTTGGTGGAATCCATTATCACTTGTTCATAAGGCTCTAGGTGGTTTTCTGTGCAGAAAAGTTCACAAGTGATTTTGCACAAATGTAAAGGCAAATCTAATGTTAAATAAAAAGGCTGCACAGAAAGAATCGCACAAGACTCTTCAACTAGAGGACAAATGGTTGGACATCATGGATTTCTTTTACTATTTAGAGCATGTTAACCTCCTATGTGTTATGCAATTTTTTTCATTAATGGGAGCAGTTGAATTTTTCAGTCATTTTTTTACGAGAAGTTTATCTAAATTAAAACTATTTTTATAACTAAAAGAGAGATAAGAAAAATAAATAAATATATATATATATATATATATATATATATATATTTTATAACAGAAGATAAATAATATGATTGAGAGAGACAAAAAAAAAATTATAAACTATTAAACTCCATAATTACCTGTGTCCTAGGCCAAGTTATTTTTATATGATCCAAAGCCAACCAGCAAGGATCCTCCATCGAGATATTACAATATTGACAAAAAAAAATTATAAACTATTAAACTCCATAATTACCTGTGTCCTAGGCCAAGTTATTTTTATATGATCCAAAGCCAACCAGCAAGGATCCTTGTTATGCCATCGAGATATTACAATATCATTTGATTAATTGCTTTAAGTTATGATTGATTAGGTTTTGCACTAAGCTTTTGGCATGGGAAGCGCACAATCAGCAAAAGACAAAAGGTTGTTTCCCTTTTTCCTTCTTCATTCCGATAAAACCGCCTTCCTCTTTTTTCTGCTTTGCTGAGTCAACCTCTTTTGCAAAACCAAAAGCTCGTGTGTATGTTAACACATAAAGAAGTGGTCTTTCCTTAGCATTTTGAATCCTTCGATGCATGATAGTATTGATCATGATTCCTTCACGTGACACGATAAGTTATGCGTAAATTTTGTGTTTATCACTTTTTATTATTTTTAGAGTCTTATTTACTTAATAATGTATATTAAAATTAAAAAAAAAAAGAGATAGATATAAAATTTGCACTTAAGACTTTGTCAAGTGAAATTTTAATGCTAGAGAATCCGTTCCTAACAGAACCAGCACTAGAATCTATAGAATTATTATGTTCCTTTTTTGTGTAGTTAATGGAAAGAGAACATGAAGTTCAAGCTTACCGGGAAAGTGTTCCGCTCATGAGAATGAAATTAGTCTATTGAAATCCAAATTTTCTTGGCTCGAAACGATGGTGCAAACCAGCACCTCAAAGCTGCAATCAAGGCCCACCTCAGAGGCCAAGGTAAGAAAACTTTTCATGAATATGATTTGAACCCATATCACAGTTTTATGTTTATTACGTGGGTGTAATAGTGAAAGGCTTTTCATGAATAAAAGATTTGAACCCAAGGATGTGACAGGCAATTGAAGGTGAGAAACAGGAAGCAATCACCATTCTTAAAGAAAAGGTTGACAATTTAAAGAAAAATGTTGATGGGGAAATAGTGGGACGTGAAGCTGACAAACGGGTTTATAGTGCTGTGAGTTTGACATTGAGTTGGTGCAATTTAGAATATAGTTCCATATATACCATTTGTTCTTTTACTGTTTTTTGATCAAGTTACTCTTGCATGTGTTTTCTATTTAATCACAGGCTTTCTCAAATCAAGGACAAGCCATCAAAAGGGTAGAGGAGAAGACCATTAAGGTGGAGGAAGAGATGGTAGAACTGAAAACCAGATTAAATAAGATGACATCTACTCTGGTTGAGTTGGCTACTGTTATTGCTGAGTTGAATCAAGAATCTCTTGGACCAAAGGTGCATTAAAAAAGGAATATACATAACTGTTCTGTTTTGACATTTACCATTCCTTGTTACTAATAATTTGTTTTTGTATTTCAGGAGGCACTTAAATCAGCTGAAGTTAGAATAGCAGACGTCAGAATGATAACAGTTTCGAAGGAAGGGTTTTATATCATTCTTATATTTCTAATGGGAGTGCTTATTGGTCTCAATCTTTAACCAAATTTATGTCTCCACTCTTCCCAACAACATGGGAAGGTCATGATCATAAGTTCTAATCTCATTCTCATTATTGTTTAAAAGAAAGTAATGAAAATTTTCCTTAGCAATTATACCTTTTTATTTGGCACTTTGAATGTGTAGGAATGGTACTTACCAGTTGGTTCATGACAGTGAAAAGGAATGGAGAAAATGAAAATAAACGTTAGTTAGTGGATCCCAATCAACTGGAACTTAGATGTAGCGGCATGATAAGCTAATAATAACTGGATTCAGTTTATAGTAAAATTGTAGTCTGATTAACAGTTATGTCACTTATTTTTATTTAATCTCACATTTCTTTTCTTTTTTTTTTAAATTTACTTTATTGTTAATGGATAAGTAATGTCTTATAATACTTTTAAAATACCCCACTGAATAAAATATTTGTGGTCGTGAACTTAAATATATACACTTATTGTGTACCAAAATTTTTATACTATTTTCTCACTTTATTCTCTCTTGTCTGTTACACTTGATTAGTTTAGTTGAGGTTGATTTTCTTTGAAGTTTGATAAAATTACATTTATTCTCTTCGATTTGAGAAATTATACTAATCTCTTACACATTGAATTTTCACTAGAATGGTACAAAGAATATAATTGTGGCATAAAGACTGCACAATTTCACAATATTGTACGTAAGTATACGAAAACATTAACTTTAGGGTTTTAAGTAGAATAAAATTAATAAAAAATAAAATTTATATAATTTTAAGAGGGGCTTAATTAATTAAAAATAAATAAATTTCAATCATTCACAAATATATGTGGCCGATCTAATTATAATTTGGGCCAGGCAGGCCAAAATCCATGTTGACAGATTGTGGTTTGGTATTGGATACTTGCATCTAGTTATAGGCGACCATGGACATGACCATTGGATAAATAAAACACGAAACTCGGATCCTTTTCACATGCCTAAGCTAGGAATTAGAAAGACACAAAAAAAAAAAAAACCCTATCTGCAATGCAGCACCATCACAAGAGAATGAGAAACTACTGTTGCTAGTAGTCACCAGAACAGACAAATGATAAATCATGTGTAATATATTGAATACTTTTGTGTTCAGATCATCTCTTGTACTATGATACAGTGACTAAATCCTATGCTGGGTACGTTACAAATCAAGAATGCTGTCCAATATTTTCTAAACGCAAATATAAATATATATGAGAGATTCTTTTGTCACCATTTCTACTTGATTACTCCTAAGTTGTCCCAGTCTCGAAAGAGGCTAGGGGACCATTGAAAACCCACTTATGAAACCTCCGAATCACATTCAAAGTGAAAAGATGGTCTGTATAATAAAAAATGCAACTAGAACCCAACACTCACATGCTATCTGAGAACCAGATGAATCGGAGCCTTTATCAGTAACACCCACAAGAAAACGACAGTTACCAACTGAAGGGTCTCGGAAAGTAATCATACCAAGCCCATCAAAATTGCAGCTTCGTGAGTCCTGCATTTGGAGCTGATAGTAACTGTTGAAAGCATATGAGATATTACCCTTCTCTCCAATTCCATTACATGAACCCCCATAATTAAGTGTGGTGCAATCCGCAACACTGCATGCAATCCTCATATGATTTGCTACATTTTGAGCATCACTGGAGGGGCTTGCCACACACCATCTAGATGGAAGATAATCAACGTGCTTTGCATTCTTCAGTTCCTTGTTTCCGAGGCCAAGGTTGAGTGGATACTTGGATTGCCCATCAAAAGAGAAAATCCCCCAGTGTCTTTCAAAGTTTCCTGGGAGTGTGCTCTTTGCTCCTTCATCAAGGAGACTGAATATATAGATATCCATTGGAGGAGCATTAGGCCTCAAGGGGGTCCCTTTGTTACTTATAACGTGGTTTATGAGACCTTGGTTGAAAACCTTTGCTGCACTGATGTTTGCACCAATGGCTCCATCTGAGGGCCAACCAATTTCCCCTATAACTATTGGCATCTGACCATAGCCAAGTTTACTGAGTGCTGCAACCAAAGTGTCATAGTTTCCATCAAATGCATTTGTATAAACATTGTTACCATCTGTGACAGGATGAGTAGTTCCCTCAAAGAATGCATAGTCTTGAGGGAAATCTCCATTGTCATAGAGGCTGAGGAATGGGTAGATATTAACAATAAACGGGGCACCGTTTGAGTTGAGGAACTGAACCAGCTGAGTCATGATCTGGGTCAGCTCAGGCCTAAATGCCCCTTGCGAAGGAAGTGTGGACTCATAGGCATCTGCATTGCAGGGGACAACTAGTTTTATGTAACTAGCAAGATTTGCTTTCACTATAGACTGCTGTAGATTTTGTATCGCAGGCATTACCAAGTTCTGATATTGACCATTATAACTCGTGAGGAATGGTTCATTTCCAACTGCTACATACCTGTAATAAAAAGGCCATAGGTTTAAAGCCCTGTAGAAAATCAATATGTTCCATACAACTTAAAATAAGGTGAAATATATTTTTAATCGTTGTAAAAATTGTTAAATTTAGTTTTATCAATTTTAAACACAATAAATTTTAATTTTTTTTAAATGATCCCCATTATCTTATATGTTACTTTAAAATATTCGCTAATGTGACATCATTAAATGAATGTTACATTATCACTAAATGATAACATCAACCATTTTAAAATAAAATTATAAGAGATGGGACTAAAATCAAAAAACAAAATAGACTAAAACTAAATTTAACTATATTTATAGAAATTGAAAATATATTGAAGTCTAAAAAAATCTAACTATAAGGTGTAAAATTAGAAAAAGAAATATCCAATTGGCATTTGGGTTTATATCCAGCTGTTAAAGATTTAAGATTTCATTATTAAATCAAAAGCCTTAGTATTAAGCAGCAAAATATAGCCTTACTTAGCGTTAGCATTGTTCATATTTGGACTTTGAAATTACTTATGGAATGCATAACACGACAGTTCGCATGACACTATTCATCAGCAAACACTAATAATAAGGTGTAGTTTGGTAGGATGTGGGAGGTGGACCATGATGGGAATGCAAGAAGACATATAATTCAGGATTTGCACCAAACATAACAAGTAATGGCTCGGGGAGGAAGGGAGAAGGTCAACTGAAGCCAGTGTTCAAAAGGAACCGTTCATTCACACAAATACATGATATTTTAGTCAAACTTACAAACAATATCCTTCAGGCTAACTCAATAATATCTTAATTCTTGGGACAAATCATTCAAAATGTACTCTTCTACATAGCATCAAGGCAAAGAGCAAATTCTAGACTTAATAACAATCGATAAAATATTAAAGCTTATAATAATTTCTATTCGATATAATACCATTGTTAGTTATTTTGAACTGCACATGATAATTACAACTAAACAAAAATTTCCAATCAAGCTTTTGATTCCCCAGATTTTTTTACAGAACAACTAATTCATCCTCAGATCGTCAAAAAATTCAAATCCTCTTTCAATATATACGGTAAAGGAATATTTATAATCGATGAGCTAATGATTTTGCAGATTTTAAAGAAGTGATTTTAGCAACCCATGACAACATTTGAGCAGCTTGTGTCTAATGGTGGTATCATATATAGAAGAATTGGATGCACCATAAAAGACCTTTTTGTTGTGTGTATTTTATTTACTTTTCTTGGACAAATGGAAGAAAATAGAAAATAATATAACCGAACATAATAAAGCTAGGAGTTGACACAAAATACTATTTGGTTGTAAAAGATAGCTTTATTACACAGCAAACTTTACTCCATGTTAGTATGACAAATAAATGAATGCCTTTGTGATTTTGAAAGAGAAAGAAGCCCAAGCAAAACAAGAAAGAAGGATAGAAGGGAGCAAACCTGATATCTGCACCACCTTTACCCATGTAGGCAGAAATATTCTGGCGAACCCACAAATCAGAAGCAGAAGGGGATGAGCTCAAGAGGGGTAACATCTCATTGGGGATCCCAACCATCACCTGAATCCCACTTCCCATCAGAGCCTTAAGAACATCAGCTTCTGCCTCAAACAACTTCACTTTTGGAATCTTGTTGTCTTTCAAGAGATCAACCACCGTAGAAGGCTTCAACTTGTGTAAAGAAACAGTGCCCCAATTCACCCCTATTGCTGATTCTGCCCAACTCCATGCCAACATCCACATCAAAATAGCTGCACCCAACCTTGCCTCTAACATTTCTGCCACTTTAAATATGTTGATCCTCGTTGGTTCACATCACAGATTTTGCAGCACTTTGAGGGGAAGATACTCAAAATGCACTGTTGGAAGGTTGAACCAAGAGCTAGTTACAACTAGCACATACCAACTGTGTTAACTGCTATCAGTAAAGCACCTGAAAGATGAATAAGAACCTGCTTTAGAGCTCAACAATTATTATTATTAAGCGGGTTTTCTTTGTAATTACCAAAGTACCCTGCCTTTCTAATTGTCAAATTGCACATGCAAATTGTACAAGAATTGCCTGGTTTTTTTCTTTCATATGTCGGTATCTACAGATATTCAACATTGGTCAATCTCTTTTTGCTCATTTGATTATTATGATGAGTTTTTCTTAAGAAAATTGTTTATTTTACGCAACTGAAATCTATTTTTCCAATTGTTCACACACAATATCACTTGTGTGATTAGGATTTGTGGTTAGAAATTTAAGTTGTCCAAAGAGGTTATTGATTTGGATAAGTAATATTCTCTTCGTGGGCCCGTTGTTATTATTCTCAGAGATATGAATTGCATTAGAAAAAAGAATGTTTTATAGTTATTCCAATGGGGTGTTTATGATCAGACATAAAAATAAATTTTAAAAAAGAAAAATGATAGATATTGTGTAAGCACTATAGTATGATAAAAAGAGGGAGATTAAAAAAACTGAAAATTATTGATTTTAAACCCGATAGAAACAATTTTAGCCTTTCCTTTTTGCTAACAAATCATGGATTACAAGATGCTGCTTTAAGTTTAGGAGGTCTGAAATTGAAAATATCATCTTTCAACATCGGTATAAGATGCAAATCGAAATTTGAATTTCTTTGAATTCAACACTGTAATGAGTACGGCAGCGGATGAAACTCAGATCGTTCACTTGGAAACAGAGCGAACCTTTGGATTTGGATATCAATAATTATATAGAGAAAGGGTGGAGAGTGTAAACATGGAATTGGGGTTTAGATAAAGCATTGGATTTGTATTTGATTTGTGACAATGACTTACGACAACAATTAGGAAATGCCAAAACCTCATGGGCTATTTTGTAATTTAGGGAACAAAATGAAGAATAGTCCTCAATAGGAATATGTAATTTTAATATTAATAAATAAAATGATATTTTATTCTAAAAAAGGAAATAAATTTTTATTCAACAATTTAAGAGTATCCAAATTTCATATGAAAAAAACATATGTCGCCTAATATGGCTGCCGAAACAGTGAGGGAAATTGTCGTTTAGCACGGAACGACAGGCAGAAAGAAAAAAAGAGGCGGAGAGGTGTCATAGTAACCGACTTTCACGTGGCAGTGGGAGTTGGTGACGGCGGTGTTGCACCCTCCAACGTTTCCCGGTGGCCTTCGTTCATTGGCCCTTCCTCTAATGGAGAGAGGAAAGCAAAGAAAGATGACACATGACTCAGATTATTCCTTGTTTGACTTTTGTTTTTAGTTTAGAAAATTGGATTTAACTCATATAATATGAATAAACATGTGAAGTAAAAACGTAAGATATATCTATTGCAAATTTAAGGTTAATATAATTTGAGTCATTTAAATTTAAAAATAATTTATATATATATTTTTTATTAGTAAAATTTCTCTTATTTTATAAAAAATAAAAACACTTATTATTAATTTTATTTTATTATATAAAACTTAAATATGGTAAGTAAATTTATCATCGCATATTTAAATATAGTAGGTAAATTTATTATTAAATATTTTTTACATATAAAAATTTAAATTAAAGTAATATTAAGTTGTTTGTCACTTAAATTAATTTTTTAAGTAATAAAAAAAATATAATAATAATAACAATAAATAAAAAAATAGTCTAATAATAATAAAAAAAATGTTCTATTGGAACAATTTTTTATTTTTATTTTATAATGTTTGGTCTTTTTATCTATTTTTTAAAAATATAAAAATAAATATAAATAACAAAAAAATATTGGAACATAATTTTAGAAAAGATGATGGAAGCATGAAGTGATTTAAGCTATAGTCCTAAAAAATGGAATCTTATATGTATGCTTTGCTATTCATATTACAAATTTTACTCCGTTGGTTATATAAAACTACTTTTATTTCTTAAAATTTCATAAATCATATTCTATTGTCTAAATACATTACAATTAAATCTTTGTAGTCTATATACAAAGGTCAAAAATTAAAATTATTAACTATTAAAACATTCACGAGCTACCTTCTTAACTGTCCTGCTACAAATCTTTGCCGTGATAGTCCATCAAAACAGTTACTAATATGAGTTTTCTACAACCGGGGATACCAATAATTTTCTTTACTGTGATTACATACGCATTGATTCTCTTGTACAGTTACTAATATGTATAGTCCACAACTTCTTCAATCATCGAGCAGCAATTACTGCTGTTAGATTCCACTGCAATTCTACATTTTTCCTCTGTTTTTATATTCCCCTGTGCCACCATAATTTTCAGTGTTTAATTTTGGGGGGAAATGGTATGGCTATAATCATATAACATATAAGCTTGAGGAACACAGTAAAAGGAAAGGGGGGGCCTTGCAATAAACATAGATTTCAACTTTCCCAATCAACACAAGAAAAAAAGGTTTTTGTTGAAAAGTTACCCCCGTTGTTTTCTTTTTGTTTGTCTAGTTTTATATATAAAAATATTATTTTTATTTATTCATTTATTCAAAATTCAAGACAACATTTTATAATTTTAATTATATTTCTAATTGCAATGAACACAGATTTCAACATTTTATATTGAAAAATTATCATACAAGATATACTTATGTTATTACACTCGAATTGGTCATAGAATGATCACCTGAGTTACCGGTTGAACTGTAATTTATTAGTTGAACCAATTAAATATAAAATTTCGCAATACTATATATTTTCATTTAGAAAAATACAATTGGAATTGCTGATTCCTCATTTATATTCTTTCATTCTTATCTTCCTTCCCTTCGGCCTTCTTACCACTTTGAGGGAATCAGAGAGGAATTGGGCATAGAATATTGGAAGCATGTATTTGATACTCATTGTTAAGTATGCTGTCTGCCACTAGAAAAGAGGAGGAAGAAAGCGAGACAGCAAAGCAAGAGCAGGACATTTATGCTTATCCCCTGCCTATACCAAATATTGCCTCTAGGACTATATGCAATTTTCCGAATTTTTTTCTTTTCAATTTACCCCGGATCATCATTTCATTCTAATCAATCATAAAGGAAATAAACTATAACACGCTCTGGAATGTAGCTGGGATTTATGATCAACTTAAAATTTGGAAGGAACAAAACCAAAGTCTAAACTTTTGGTTCAAATCCAAGGAATGCCATCACACCTAACACTCCTCAAAGACCAAATGTCAGAGCTCACATACCATTCATAGACCACAAAAGCGAATATAAATACGAAGAAAGAGAAAGCAAACAGTGATTCAATGGCCGGGAAATTGAGTTATTGATATTGTAAACTCCAACATACAACTTAGTTACAAAATATGCACACAAGTGACACAAATTTGTACATCATCTCAACATCCATCTTTGAACAAGAGAGCCAGAACCAACCTTTTCACATCAGAACATAAAAATCACCGATAAATAGGATCTTCAGCTCTTTGGAATTAACCTTGGATGTTGTCTTGAATGTCTAGCTCCTTATAAAATCAGGCTGATTTGTTACAGATCTCACCCACGACCATGTATGATCTTTTGTATTAACTGGATTGCCAGCACGCGCTACATCTTCCAATGGAATATATGCATAGTTTCCATTAATAGGACCAGCAACAAACCCAGTATAGCCCGCCATAATACCATGAATGGCAGAGTGCGCTAGGAGAGTACAGTACAAGTTATCAGTAGCATTTGCATGCACTGCACGAATCATGTAAGTAGGATCAATGTACTTGACTGTAAATAACTCATCCGGGTGGTCCCTTGCCCACCACTTCTTAAGCTCAGACTTCAACCACACACCAACATCTAAGAACACTGGGTTCCCAGATTCATCCTTTTCTTCCTTCTGTGAATCAGTTCTGGGTATAATATTCTGGCCAGCACCTTCAGCAACCACAACCACGGCATGCCCATTCTCCTTCATTCTTTGGTCAAGAAATTCAAAGAGCCCTCCTTTCCCTTCCAAGTAGAAATCTATTTCAGGAATCAGGCAACAGTCAACGTCACGGCTACTGAGTGTTGCATGGAGAGCGATGTGACCTGTGCTTCGACCCATCAACTTGACGAGTCCCACACCGTTAACTGCACTCTCGGCCTCCACGTGTGCAGCACTGATTGCTTGCTGTGCCATTTCAACTGCGGTTTGGAATCCAAAAGATCTGTCAATGATTCCGACATCATTGTCCACAGTTTTAGGAATTCCAACAACCGCAACATTCAGTTTACGACGTCGTATTTCATCAAATATCTCCACTGCCCCTCGCATAGTCCCATCTCCACCTATAATGTAAACCTGAGTGAAAGCGTGGTTTTGGATGGCATCGACGATGTTATGGAGATGAAAGCCACCCCTTGATGTTTGAAGGAGGGTGCCACCCATGGTGTGCCAGTGGTGAACCAGGCTGGGATTCAGAGGGAGTGGCTTTGTAGAGTAAAACCCTCTGTACCCGCCGGTGATGCCCAAAATATGACGGACGCCGTAGAGGTGCCACAAGCCCACCACAAGCTCCCTGATAACGGTGTTGAGGCCGGGGCAGAGACCACCGCAGTTGACTATGGCAACGCGAACACTGGAAGGGTCAAAGAAGATCTCGTGACGGGGACCGGCGCGGTGGTAGGCATCGCGGGGAGAGGGAGAGTCGTGGTTGTGGATGTGGCGGAGTACGACGTCGGATTGTGTGAAGTAGAAGGATGGAAGTTGGAGAGTGTGGAAGTAGGGGTTTTGGTCCAGTGGGTTGGGTCGGGTTTTGAGGTTAGGGACGTAGTGTGTGATGTGTGGCAGCTCCTTCAGATGTATGGGTTTGAACAAGTTGCTTATGTCCGATCCGGAGTTGGCAGAAACCTCCATTCTCGCCATCCACACACGCGCTCTGAAACCAAGGAGCTACTCTTTGTTTGTATTTGAAAAATGGAGCTTGGAGTACGTGGCAGTTGCTGAGTTAAGGGTTTGACACATTACACCAAAATTATATTCTGTGCGCCCCTTCTTTGACACGTATATTGGTATGTGTAACCTTTTGCTGAGAGAGTTATGTTATGATTCCCTTCTTCTTCTTCTTCTTTTTGGGTCTCGAAAGCACAGAACAAAGAGGGTCAGGAAATGGATAATAAAGCCCAAAAGGCAATCTGATTAGGCCATGGCTCTGCTCTGCTGATTGACATTACTTAGCTTGGGCTTAGGTGGTTGCTTTTGGTTCTACACACTACACTCTATTTCTTGAATACTATTCAGACCCAAGAAAATAAAATATTCCTCCCATTTGTACAACTGAACATTGCAGTCTTATATTTTCAGCTAGATTAATATTATATCTTTCCTCTTATAAATATACAAAAAAAAAGTAATAGTTTTTTCATTCATTAAGACAGTTTATGTAAAGATATTGTGGAATTATTTTAAATTATTCTGTTAACAATACTGTTTAGTATGAACTATTTTTCACTTTCTAACTATTCAGGAACGAGGTGACTGTAAGAATAAACAGATAATAAGTGATTTCAAAATATAAAATTTTCTATATTAAAAAAAAAAAAAAAAGGTATTCTGTTCTCTACATTGTCACTTTCATAAAAATAAAAAAAAAATAAAAAATCTTTATATTTTTATCTGGACCAAAAATTGAAAGCGTAAAATTGATGGCTGGAATTCAAAACTCTAGGCTCCAAAAAATTACATGAAGCTTTGCACCGAAGTTCCGCACACACACAAAGTATAATTATTTCGAATTAAATGTTAATAGATTAAAATTTTATGAATTGATCTTTACATTCGTGTAATGTATGAGATAAGTTTTTCTTTATTATTTAAAATAAAAAATGTTTTGATTTCAATAATCTGATCTTGAGCAAAACTTGGGTTATTTAGAAATTAAAATAACCTCATCTTATAAAAATTTTAATATTTTAGGGTATGTTTGAAAGGTAAATTTTGGAAAAGAAAAAGAAAATATACTTTTTTAATTATAAATTTAAAAAATTATATATTATTTATGATGACTAATACATTAAATTATCTCAACTTATATTTTTTATTTTAAAAATATATTAATTTAAATAAATTTATTTAAAATATAAATTTTGTCCTCTACTCTACTCTTGTTTTAATCTCTCTTTCCCATCAACCTTTTGAGAAAATTTATCTTCATGTATGTCTAATTCTTCAATAAAACTATTTTAAACATCCATCTTAACTGTTAGTTTTCTTTAATCTAATCTTAATTTAAATTTGAATTTCAAATTTGTCATAATTTTTCTAATTTTAAAAATCTTATCTCTTTAATTTAATCTGAATTAACACAATAAGTATTTATTATTAAAAATTTAAGTATTTATTAACTTTAAATTTATAAAAATTATTAAATTTTAAAATATTTATAAAATTTATTTTAATTTAATAATAACTATGGAATGTGCAAAAATGCATTAGCTATTACAAAAGTTGATTTATGAAAAAAAAAGACTTGAAAGATTATTCATAAACTAGAAAAATTGTGTTTTTCATGTATGTTGTTTAGATTGAAAATACTTTATACTCAAAAGTCGATTCCATTCAAACTATTTTATAGGTTGTCAGATTGAATTTCATTTAGATTTAAAACCAAAATCACTCAGTAGGAAAACAAGAAAACTAATAAGAATAGAAGGGTGATTTTTCTTTTCAAAACTTGCAATCCACAAAAACTTCTATTGTCACTGTGAAGCTTAACGTAACTTACTTTAGAGAGAGAGAGAAATTTGAGCCCAATTATGGATTTTATCTGTAACTCCTGTTAGTCAAGGATGTTGAGCGAGTGACGTCTGATAAGTGATGAGTGAACTTGTGCTTTGTATGACCTCGTAACAGTCTCAATCAGTCCTCTTTACTAGCACAAAAATAATGTACAATTTATTTCTTTATGGCTTTAGAGAATCACAAACCATTGCATACAGCATCTGTTGGCTATACCCTGGTGACCATTCTTCATCATCTATAACAATAAATGAGGCCAATTCGAATGCTGGGTTGTGGAAACTGTTTTGTTCACAACACAACGTAACATATATAGGGATCATTACAGTATATGTATGATCATTTATAATATGGTTATTATATATATTATGGCATCTATGATTATTCATTAGGCAGTGTGGAGGGTAGAAAGCGTTTTTCTTGACACAAGAGACATTGGTACGGGCACGTAGCACATGACTAAACAAGAAAAGAAAAGAGGAAACCATAAGGGAAAGGGAAAGGGGCAACCCCTATCCAACCTAAAAAATATATCAATCATGCATAGCCGTAGGATAGGAGAGCCACCATGTATGGTTGCCGGTTGGAGGGCTTCTGCTAGCTGGGGCCAGTGTTAGCTCACTGTCGTCAAACTCACTCAATCCCAGTTCAAAGTCATACTCATCATACATATAAGTTTGCTTTGGCAGAGAATGTTTGACAAATTAGTTTGAATTGAACCTACGTGGGCGTGGACATGAACAATACATGAGAGGGAGGGTTTTAGCATGTCTTTCAGTGCATAAGACTTGTGCAAAATCCCAAGTGTTGTAAATTTGGAATCAATCAACGTGTATACTTTATTCACTCATGAATTAGGATCAAGCAAATCATTGTCATAATCTATAAATTATGCAAACGTATTTGATGACATGACCATAAAGCAAAGCCAATGCCCTCTTTCTGTCCTATTATGTTGGGTGGAAAAGTTTTTCGTTTATTTTATTTTTATTAAAAACACAAAAAGAGAACCAATTACCAACCTCTCGAGGTTTGTGCATGTGCATGAGTGATGAGTATGACTATAGTCTACTCTCAGCACCACCTTAAAAGTTTAAAAAAGAAAAGTAAACTCTCGTTATGTATAAGCAGCAGATGCAGCAGGCGAGCAGTACCACTAACTGTACATCCGCAGTAGTTCTTCCATAACAGGAGAGATTTTTCTGCATTCGTACTTGTTGTTTTAGACGGTTATCTCTTCCTGATTTCTTGATTTTTCCTTGAACAGTTTAGCCATTATTTTTGGCTAAAATCTCTTATCCTAACTGAATCATGATCACGATGAGATTTCCTTCATTTTCGGCATTTTGTTCACCCTCTCACTCTTCTTTCCACTTATTAATAAGAGCTTTGTTGCGTGATACCTTTTCACTTCAAATCTATTCTCCCAGCATTAGGAAGCCCTTTTGCAAGACCAGGGGAAAGAGCTAACCTCTATTACTCTTCCTCTATCTCACTCACCTTCTCTTCTCTCTCTCTCTCTCTGTCTTTTCTTTTTAATTCACGTTTTTGAATTCTCTTTTCGTTAAAGAAGGCTGAGGCTGTCACCTTTGTGAAAGAAGAATGTGGTCTGGAAAGCATTCAATTTTCCTCTTACTCTCTTTCATTCTCTTTTCTCTGTTCCATGCACCTGCTTTTGCCACAAAAAAGGCAAGCTTTATGTCACTGTTATCTCTCTCACTTGAACACATTGGTTACTTCCGTTTTTTGTGCAAAGCCCACTCCCTATGTTCTTTCAAGTTTTCATCTTTTTGCTTTTGTGCAATCGTTAAAAGTTAAGCTGACTCTTGGGTCAATTTTTTTTTTTTTGAAGTCCTACATAGTGTACTTGGGATCGCATGAGCATGGTGAAGGAGTTACAGATGCTGATTTTGATCGCGTTAGAGATACTCATCATGAATTTCTTGAATCCTATGTGGGAAGGTACACACTATTTGAATGTACTAGAGAAAATAAACTTGCATTTTAAACTCGAAGCATGTTCATGAACTAACGTTGTAATGCAGTTCTGAGAAAGCGAAAGAAGCAATGATATATTCTTACACAAGGCACATCAATGGCTTTGCTGCCATGCTAGAAGAGGAAGAGGCAGCTAACATTGCAAGTAAGAATAGAACATACAAAACATTAATTGTTCTCGGCACGAAGAATATTAATTGAAATTCCAAACTTACAAAAGTTAGTGATGTGTGTTCGATGCAGATCATCCAGACGTAGTGTCAGTATTCTTAAACAAAGGAAGAAAATTACACACTACCCATTCGTGGGATTTCATGGATCTCGAACACAATGGTGTTATTCCCTCTGATTCCATCTTTAGGAAAGCCAGATATGGTGAAGATACTATCATAGCGAATTTTGACACAGGTAGTTTTGTTCCCTTGTTTGTGCTATTTGGACATTAATGTTGCCATAAGTTATTCAAATAAAGTTTTAATTTTTATTGAAATTAATATTTTAAAAATTATACTTCTTTTCTATGTATTTTTATTAATTATAAAAAAAACTATTTTTTTATTATTATTATTATTGGATAGTTTAGGGGATTTTGACTATAATGTGCTATGGTACAGAAGCAGGCATTCTTTACGTATCGAGAGTTAAAATTTTGAAAGGTCCTATCTGCTGGTTCTTTCTTTTGTGCTGACTAATAAAAGTACCGTAACTTTCTCTGTTGTCTGTCATAGTGTCATTGCCACATGCATTCTTTTTATTTTCAAAAAAATATAGAAAAATGTGCAATCACTATCCACTTGTCAAAAGCATCATCTGTCTTGTTTGCAGCCGTGGAAATCACTTTGGCGTGGACCCTTTTCATGTGTGACAAATCGCCGGTGACCCATTATGTTTTCTCAATATCCCATTTCAAATAGCACCGTGTCATTTTTTATAATTTTCTAAGTAACTAACGTTATATTTCAATAATCCATACGTTGTTATTTCTCATACATAGTATTGATAGGAATACGATATTTACACAAATAAAGTACCTCACAAATTTCTCACTGTTTCATCACTTCTCAATTCGTCCTTTTTAACTTCTCACATCCAATGTTCCATATCCCTCCAATTAAGTTTTTGTGCCCATAAATATTGTGCAAGAAAATCGCTTCTATTGTTTTCATAAAGTTTGATTAAAAATTATGTGTTGTAGGTGTATGGCCAGAATCTCCGAGCTTTAGAGATGAGGGCATGGGACCCATTCCTTCAAGGTGGAAAGGAACTTGTCAGCATGATACTACTGGTTTTCGTTGCAACAGGTGATTAAGTTTTTTTTTTTTTTTTCACTTTTTTTTTATCTGTTTCCACCATATTTTCCGTATTTATACAGTCTGTTTTCTGGTTAATGTTTAGCTGTATTTATATTTTCTCTTTAAAAATATACTATCCATTTAGTTAGTTGATGAGCAGTATGCTTTGTTTATGAATTGCATGTATCTTCGCAGGCATTAATTAAAACGCAAGAACCACGTCTATTTCCATTATTAAGTTAGACGTTAAATCTTACTAATTATACCACTTATACATATGGTTATTTCACCATAATCACCGCAAAATAACTGTTCAAATAAACACTTGCATCATCATCTCATGCAAATAATAATAATAACAACAATATTTCTTCATGTTACAATTTCTGTCTTTTAATTTGTGTTGTTAGTCCACAAATGAAGGTATCAAATATAAGATTATGCTACTGCAGTTGTAGCTTAAAAACATTGGCGCAATGAAAAAATTGAAATATCTAACTGTTCTACCTTTTTCTGATAATACATGCAGAAAGCTCATAGGAGCAAGGTACTTCAACAAAGGTTACATTGCTTACGTGGGGCCAGCAGCAATGTTTAACAGTACGCTCAACACACCACGAGACTATGAAGGTCATGGATCACACACGCTATCAACACTAGGAGGAGACTTTGTTCCTGGGGCAAATGTCTTTGGCTTGGGTAATGGAACTGCCAAAGGTGGTTCTCCTAAGGCACGCGTTGCAACCTACAAGGTGTGCTGGGCACCAGTTAATGGCAATGAGTGCTTTGATGCTGATATCATGGCAGCCTTTGACATGGCTATACATGATGGGATTGATGTTATTTCCCTCTCTCTTGGAGGTGCTTCCGCCGATTACTTTGATGATGGTCTAGCAATTGGAGCATTCCATGCTACTCAGAAGGGAATCCCTGTAATATGCTCAGCTGGAAATTCCGGACCAACTCCTGGAACCGTTTCAAATGTTGCACCTTGGATATTAACAGTTGGCGCAAGCTCCTTGGACAGAGCGTTTGACTCTAATGTGCAACTCCACAATGGACAGCGCTTCAAGGTATTTCTTTTGACCTGTACTCCATTAATATTGTCCAAATTTTACCAATATTAAAGATAATTAATTAGGCCATGTTTTTCTTTTCCCACTTCCATTTTCCTCTCTAATATTTCATCCTTGATTATTAGGGAGCAAGCCTTTCCAAGGGTTTGCCGGAAGACAAGCTTTATCCACTCATTAATGCTGCACAAGCAAAATTGGCCAATGAATCAGCTGAAAACGCGTAAGAACTGTGCTTGAAGTCCGTTTTGCTTAAATATCCCATTTAAGTCATAAACATTTCCCATCTTCTTTAGTGATTTTGATTGAAAGTACAACATGGTATTTGGTAACGTGCTTGGCCTTGTGTATGTAGTATTCTTTGTAAGCCAGGAACAATAGACCCTGAGAAGGCGAGGGGCAAGATATTGGTTTGCCTTAGAGGTGTCATTGCAAGAGTTGAAAAGAGTCTTGTTGCTTTGGAGGCTGGAGCAGCTGGGATGATTCTTTGTAATGACATATTAAGTGGTACTGAGCTTATTGCTGATCCTCATTTTCTGCCAGCATCACAAATTACCTATGAAGACGGTGTTGCTGTCTTTGCCTACATCAATTCAACCGAGTAATTAATCTTTTTATTGCTCTCCTCATACATAGTTTACTAAATGTAAATACAAGAAGATTAAGTGTTTCAACATCTTTAATGGCTAAATGATCAATATACACCAGGAATCCGCTAGGATACATTCAACCACCAAAGACCAAGTTGGGGATAAAGCCTGCTCCAGTCATGGCAAGTTTCTCCTCTAGAGGGCCCAACACAGTCACTCCAGAGATCCTCAAGGTTCAAAAATTGTGTTTCATTGCCCATGAGTCACTTTCATAATTTTTGTTTATTTTTCAAAGTGACTATTGCAATTAACTTATGGTATTGGATGAATTCATGGTTTCATTTTCTTCCACCCTCTTCAGCCTGATGTCACCGCACCCGGTGTGAACATTATTGCTGCCTACTCAGAAGCGAATAGCCCGACAGAGTTGCCCTTTGATAAGCGCAGGGTTCCTTTTATCACCATGTCTGGAACATCCATGTCTTGTCCTCATGTGGCTGGAGTTGTTGGCCTCCTCAAGACTCTCCACCCTGATTGGAGTCCAGCAGCTATCAAATCTGCAATAATGACAACCGGTAAGAACATTATAGTATTTATATATGATTCGACAAAACTTAGGTTTTTCTTTATTATATTAATTAGAAAATAATATCAAAAGTATTTATAGTATTACACTTTCAGTTTTTTTCTTTACAGTTTTGTTTACTCAACTAAGATTTTGAGTATAAAAATAATAAATTTTTATAAAAAAATATTTGTTACATTAAAGATATCGAAGTGAAAAACATATTTTATATATTTTGGTTTTTTATTAGAAAATTGCATGAATAATGTACTCATGTATTGCGGGCAATCTGACATGAATTTTTGTTATGGAAAATAATGTGTTTCAGCTAGGACAAGGGACAACACTGGTAAGCCAATGCTTGATGCAGAAACTGTGAAGGCGACGCCATTTGCCTATGGGTCTGGGCACATAAGGCCAAATCGTGCCATGGATCCCGGCTTGGTCTATGACATAAGCATCGATGATTACCTAAACTTTTTGTGTTTCCTTGGTTATAACCAAACTCAGCTAAGCACGTTCTCTAGTGCTCCTCATCGTTGTCCTGATATAATGAGCATCCTGGATTTCAACTACCCCACAATATCAATACCTAAACTCTATGGCTCAGTTACTTTGACCCGAAAGTTGAAAAATGTTGGGTCACCAGGAACTTACATTGCAAAGCTTCGTGTACCATCTGGTCTTTCCATGCATGTGCAGCCTAATGTGTTGAAATTTGACAGCATTGATGAAGAGAAGAGCTTTAAGTTGACAATTGAAGTTACGAGACCAGGTGAGGCTCAAGTATTTGGAGGTCTAACTTGGTCAGATGGCAAACATCAAGTGAGGAGTCCAATCGTAGTTGGGGGCGTTAGAGGCTAGCTAGATCATCAATCACATCATGTGCATGTCCATCCATTCATAACACGTAATTAGGATGACATCTTTTTCTTTTCTTTTTCGTTTAGATGATTGGGAGATTGGGAAAAAGGTAAATGCATAACTTGGAGTATTCCTCTTATCATTTTCTTTTTATTACTTTCACTTGGAAGAACTTCAATTTGTGAATTTGAGAAGGAAATAAAATGTCTATTTTATTTTAATATAATCATCGTTTAAAATTTTGTAGAAGAATTATTTAATGTTTTAAATTTAAATATTATTTCACTATATCGCCTTCATTCTTCATTAATATTCTCTCCTTTATAGCTTATGCATATATCAAAACATGGGTATAAAGTCAAAAAAAATAGTAATAAAGTCTTTTGGTGCATTATTTTAAAGACAAGTAATATATTGGTTATAATTTTGCACACTTAAAACTTAGACATAAAAGCAAAATCTCATTAAAACTTGATTCCGGTTATGTATGAGTAAAAACTCGTAAATTAATAATTATACTCTATCATGATTCATAAACCAACAAGCACTTGGATTTAATATGATATTTGTCATTGTGAACTCAAAAAGGAGAAATTTAGCGGATCTCACAGTCGTGAACTCACCCCATAAACTAAAAGCCTAAAACACTTTGACCTTGTAAGAATTTTACAATCACAAACTCTTACGAGAGAAACTAATCACAAGAATTTAATAGGATTTCACAATTCACAGGCGAAAAAGATGCTCTCCCTTGGAGAAGGGCTGAGCTTAAATAAATTGTTATTCAAAACGATAACTAACCTCCGTGTCTTCAATTCAGTTTTAAGCTTATAATTTGTTTACCTCACCAATTCAATCTTTCATTTATTTCTTCTAATTTAGTGTTCACGTTCTCAATGTACTGTTTCATAGCTTGTAACATCATGAATCTTCATGTTTTCCTATCAAAGTGCTTTATAGGAGCATGAACAGTTCTTGTGAGAAAATTACAAAGAGAGCAGTTCTTTAGGAGCATGAACAGTTCTTGTGAGAAAATTAGTTTTTATTTTCACATCTGTATGTATTTCTTTATTCTCTTTGTTAAAAAAAAAGAGAACAAATTAATAGGATAATTTTTAACATTAATAGAGAGAAAAAGAAAGAAAGAGAGAATGGATGATTCACTTTTAACAAAGAGAAAAAGAAAGAAAAAGAGAATAAATAAATACATACAGATGTAAAAAAAAATTAATTTGTTAGCGTAAAGAAGATGAAGAGAGCATACTAACACAAAATGAAAAGGTACTTACATATGAAAAAAAAAAAAACTAATTTGTTAGCAAGAAAAGACGAAGAAAAACTAATTTGTTAACATTGAGAAGATGAAGAGAGCATACTAACACAAAATGAAAAGGTACTTACATATAGAAAAAAAAACTAATTTGTTAGCAAGAGAAAACGAAGAAAGCAGACTAACAGAGAAGATGAAGAAAACATAAAAGAGCATAGAAGAAACTGACAGTAAAAGAGACCAACTTTGTTAGCTACCATGTAAAATAGTTTTCTGCAATGTTGTATTTCTCAATAATATGCTGTATAAATACATGAAGTTGTTGCTGGAAAATTTAACAATTCTAATAGATACGTTTAAAAAATAATAAATCTAAAATAACAACTCCTATAGCAGCTTGAATTTAAATAACAAATTGTTTGTTAAGCCTTGTTAACAACAATTTGTTATAGCAACAATTTGTTACGATATTACCCCCCTCAAGTAGGAGCATGAAGATTCAAAATGCCCAACTTGCTCATCAAGAACTCGAACTGAGGTTTGTCCAACGCCTTGGTGAAGATGTCTGCGAGCTGTACTGTTGTAGAGACATAAGTGGGAAGGATATTCTGTTGTAGAACCTCATTGCGGACAAAATGACAGTCAACTTCAATATGTTTGGTGCGTTCATGAAACACCGGATTTTTGGCAATGTGCAATGCCGCTTGACTATCACAATGAAGGACTATAGGTCTGGGGTGAGCAATGCCAAGATCAGAAAAAATCCCTTTTAACCATTTGAGCTCACAAGTAGCTGTGGCCATGGAGCGATATTCAGCTTCAGCTGAAGAGCGTGAGACAGTATGTTGTTTCTTGGTTTTCCACGAAATAGGAGATTGGCCCAGTTGGACAAGCCAACCAGTCACAAAGCGACGGGTAAGAGGACAACTAGCCCAGTCAGAATCACACCACCCGTGAAGCTGGAGATCACAGCTACTTGAAAGTAATATACCTTGTCCTGGATTGCCTTTGAGAAAGCGAACCACCCGGAGAGCAACGTCCCAGTGCACAGTATGAGGTTGCTGCATAAACTGAGATAAAGTGTGCACACTAAAACATAGCTCAGGACGGGTGAAGCAAAGATAGATCAGGCGCCCAACCAAGCGACGATAACGCTCCGGGTTATCAAGAAGTGGCCCAGAGTCTGAGGACAAATGGTGATTTTGCTCTAATGGAGTGCTAGTTGGTTTGGCGCCAAGAAGACCAGCCTCAGAGATAATATCAAGCGCATATTTGCGCTGACAAAAGAAAATTCCCGTTTTCATCAGCTCCATCATCATCTTCAGGTACTCCATATCCTATTGCTCACTATGTTAATTGTGACCGATTTTTTGTGCCCCATAGGCAATTCCTTGCAGCACTTACAACAGAGAGAGCAAACTTACAGTGAAAGAGACCAACTTTGTTAGCTATGAAAAAGAAATGCGTTGAGCGTATTCATTTATAAATGACTTTAATAACATTAGAGAGCGGTTCTTTATTAATTACTCTCCAAGAATGAGATTAGAGAGAGGTTCTTTATTTTTATTAACTACTCTCCAAGAATGAGATTAGAGAGCGGTTAATAGAGGCTCTCAGAAGTATAGTACCGCTCTCAAAAGTATAGATCTGAGAGCGGTTAATAGAGAACTCTAAAAAATATAGATCTGAGAGCGGTTAATAGAGAACCCTAAAAAATATAGATTTGAGAACGATTAATAAAGAACCGTTCTCTAAATATATAATTACAAAGTAATTTTTATTAACCGTTATCTAAGCGCTTCAAAAACTCATTTCTTACATAGTGGTTGTTAAGTATATTTACTAAAACAACATATGCGTTCATCAAAAAAGAAAAGAAAAACTACATATGCAGATTTCCAAATGGATCATTTGATAGTAGAGGTCCCAACGAGGTTTCTCTTTCATGATCCTAGATTCGGGCCATTATAAGACAAAACGACAAAAATCACAAAACGACCTGCCGTAAGTCGAGTATAAACAGCATGTATCTCAAGCCAACGCTTACCAAATAACTACCTCGTTGATTCGTTAACAAAAAATCAGAAAATAAAATAAAAATAAAAAAGAAGCAATTCCAAAATCAAAACGAAAAGTGGGGTAGCTTGAAATCATATTTGTAGTCATTACCTAGCCTAAAATAACACTTAAAACCAGCATCAAAACGCAAAGTTGGTTGCGTCACAAGCTACAGCACATCACCTTCCGTGATTAGGGGTGTAAGAGTAGGAAACGTTAAATATATAACCCCTTCATTGTGGTAACCAAAATTAGAGACGCAAAAGAAGGAGCCAACCCCTGTCTCGAATTGCTTTGTTGGTCTCTTAGACAGGCCACGGGGTAAGGTTGGATGGCATAAAAAAAAATGTGTGACAGTGTGCTCATGCATGTGTTTCTGCGATGAGTTGAGCGACGGTTTTAGCTTAATATCGCGTGGCGTGTGTGTAACCATCACCATTTCTTATCATTCTACATTCACATACGTTACCACCATACCAACACATTCACACATTATTCATATACGTACCTAAGTTCCTCGCTCTCCCTTCGCCTCAAGACTCGTTAAGGTTTCCAACTACGTATACCCTATTACTCTTTAGATCATCATGTTTTTATATAATCTATTTCATGGTTTTCACTTTTATAGTAAATCTTGTTCACCCGTTGTATTTAGTTGATTCAATCTGAGATGAGGAAATGAATGCGTTGATTAAGAATATGATCTTGCAAAGCTATGCGAGCTTTTGTGCTTGATTATGTGTCAACCAATTAATTAAGTTGTTTGTAAATCTTGCAGTGACAGAAACGCTATCTGGGTATTTACAAATGGAGAGGGAGAAGATGAAGAGAGCAAGAGAAGGAGATGATCAGAGTGAGATGAAGTGTTCTGAGAATAACAAGAAGGCACAGAAGAGGGATGTGTATGGCATAAACTTGATGAAGAACGTGGAAAAAGAGGAAGAGAGTTGTTCAGAGGCATGGGAGTCCCACTTGGGATTTGGGGTGTTTGATTTCCCTTGGCTGAAAGATGGTGTCACCTCTATATCAGAGGAATACCTGTTGGATTTTGAAGACAATTTCGCGTCACTTCTAGAACATGATGACGCTTCCTTTAAAGCTTTTAGTATTGATTTCTCCGAAGTATATGGCTTGTGTGAGACTCCAGAGGCATGCGTGGCTCATTTTCCCGAAGCCAAGTTGGAGGATAGTGCATGGAAGCCATTTGAAAGAGATGTGTTGGAGCTGGAAGCAGAGGATGTGGATTGCATTTGGAGTTCTCTGCTCAATCAGCCTATCTAACGAAAGTAGCAGCATTGAGGATAATTGTTTGATGTTAATAGTTCATTTCAGATAGAATCCACAAGAAGGTAAATTGGGGTTGGGTGTAAAATATTTAATAATAGTCCTAGTCTTGCTTCATGATTTTCTTCTTTCTTTTCCATTGTAAGTTATATCGTAAATTGGAGGTGGTGGCCATGTTGATGGCACAATGAAGATCATAATTCTGAAAAATTAGAAAAGGGATAGGAGCAATAAACTCTATAATATATTAATTATGATTTTCTATATTTTAAAAATATTAATTTATAGAACAAGTTCTTATATTTTTTCTATAAATAAATCAATCGCAAATAATTTATTGAATTATGTATTTAAAAGAATGTCTCACTGACATTTTTAAATAAAATATGTCTGTTTGCAGAACAACCCAAAATAGATCCAGTGACAGAAGAGAACAGAAGTGACAATGTAGATTAGGTAGAATGGTTTCTCTTGCATAGGGTAAAGATAATTACTTTAAGGGATTGAAGTAATTGAATTATAATTCCAGTTGTTGGCAAACAAAGCCACCTACTCTTCTGTGCTATTTACCTTAATAACTCTCTTGGACAAGCTTCAAATCGAAAGAAATATGGTTCAGAAAGGAATAAAAAAGTAATTAATTCAAGTAGGGAACAAAACCAACAATAATGGGAACAAATTAAGGTTAGAGTCGAACTCAAAAGCTGACTTTCTCGCCAGCGATGCAATGCAGCAGGCACTTGTTGTGAAGACCAAACGTGGGATGATTTGTCTAACTAAAGACATAAACTAAACTAAGGCCCAAATAAACTTTTAGATAAGCTTTTGTAGAAAAAATTAATATAAAATTAAAGCATTAGATAAGTGTAGTATGATAATATTGTATATCTACTATTACGGTGAGTTATGAGAAATGAACCTTGATTTTTCTGAGTAATTGTTGTTCAATCCAATCATTTCTCTATGTAAAAATATGATAGCTAACAGTTTTCTGTCACGTCTCAACAAAATCTATGTATTTCCTTAACAAAATGCGGTGATCAATCTGGACAATACCTTAATAACTGCCCTCTCTTGATTGTGCCGACACTTTTTCATCTGTATCAGCGACGTTGTAGCTTGTGGCTTTCATTCTTAATTTCGTGGTCCAGCCAAATGTGTCGAAAATCTAAATAAGGTAAGAAAACGATGCCAATACCACGTGTCCTTTCTTCTTTACCACCTTGAGTTTTTCCTTTTTGTACTCAAGTGCATTTGTTTCCTTCTCCATTATTCCTGGTTTAATGCAAATGAAGAAACTGATGAATTACCAACTTGAAACATATATAATTATAATTTTTGAAGGGGCAACACAGTATATTCCATAACCATGAGTAAATCTTGACTCTTGAGGCAATCATTGAACCAACGAGGGCCAATAAGAGATTATTTATCCTTTACATCAATAAAATAATTATAATTTTAACTCATGCACTAAGTGCCTAGAATAAATTGTATATAATCGTCACAATGATTAACAGAAATTTCAACTGAACAACCTGTTAGCATTGGTATAACACGGTTCTCAAACATTTAAAGTAAAAAGAAACTACAAAAGTGTAATTGAAGATGATAATTTCAATTTCACGTTTAATGCTTTTGGGATATGCGCGTCTGGTATTTATTTGTGGGGTAGGGTTGAAGAGAGAAAGAAGACAAGAGTTAAAAATAAAAGAGATTAATAAAAGGTTTAATTAGACAGAGTTGGTACCATTGGAAATACGGCGATGAAGCGTGCGTGGGGATTGCCTTATTGGGGAAGAGAACCTGACGGGGCATGGACACGTAACAGCCGCGCAATCATTAATAGGAAAAATCAATCTTAATTTTGTTTTTCACACTTTGCGGGTTTTAATTTTCAAACATTCATTCTGTGTGGTTTTTTAATTTAAGGCTTATTAAGGGAGGAAAAAAAGTTGCCGTTATCAAATGGTTATAACAGAGACTGCAACAAAGATAAACATTCATTTATTATGTTAGTGATCAGTGATTAGTGATTTGGTATCATCTCTCTCTCTCTCTTCGTGTTCGTCAATCATCAACCCCCACTGCTTTTGCTGCCATTTATTATCTTCAACCTCCTCTCATTTTCTAGAATTGCTTTTGCATTACTACAAAATAGCGGCTTTTGGAAAACTGGTCCTATTTGCTTTGTGGTTTGAGGCCACACTCTCAACGCATCTTTCTGTCTTCCTACCCCAAAATGCGTTTTACTCGCCAATTCAATGTACGTCATTCAGATTCGCTTCTTCCTCCTCCTTTTCTGCATTTCTCAGATTTGTAACCTGCCCACAACATTAACACAAACTGGGTTTGTTTTACTGCCGAAAAATTTGTGTTTTGGGTTGAAATTTCTCTGCTCTTTGATCTTATCAGTGCCCTATAGGATAGAATCTGCATGAGAAAGCGACCAAGCTGTGGCTCCTTGGCGACACCAATTATTGCAGTGGTTGTGAGTTTGGGGTTTGAGTAAAGATGGTGGCCACCAGAAATATTGTGTTGTTGTTGCTTTGTATCACTGTTGTTGCTCCGATTGTGCTCTACACTGATCGTCTTGGCACCTTTAAGTACCCCTCCGGTGAGTCTCTCTCTCTCTCTCTCTCTCTTCTTCATTTGCTAACTCATTGGAAAATGTTTTCTCTTAACACATGTTCCTGAATCTTCAAAACTTTTGCAATAACCTAAATTCTTTGTATCTTCGGATGGTTTTTATGTGCATTTTGCAGCTGAGCAAGAGTTTATTGAAGATGTAACTGCTCTTGTGAGTAATATTCCCTTAAAAGAAAGTCATTATTTGTTTGAGTTGAATGAGATCTCTGAATTAGTAGGTTTTCTAATTCTATTGTTATGTTTTGTCAGGCTGTTAGTGCGGCAGACTCTGGTCATTTAAATCTGCTACCACAGGTAAAGCTTCCATCCTTCCTTTTCCCTTGTCCTTATTACACACGCCTATGGAGAAATTTCCTTTTATTGATGCATATACGGGTGAAGAACTAAATGCTTGATAATTTCTCATTTTGGAAAAAGGAAACTTCTACGGTCCTTAAGGAACCTGTTGGTGTTGTATATTCAGAGGACCCGACAAACACAGAGAATCTGCCTCAAGGTATTTTGTTTGTTCTTCTATGCTCAGCAAGATGATTTATTTCCTCCCCTTCTTGTCTGGGGTTTGGTTTCTTGTAATTTTCACTACTGTCTATCTTAATTGTTTGATTGACCTAGATTCGTGCATTGTTGAACCAGGGGAGCATGTATCTGCCAGGGTATTGTCAGCTACAAATGAGGAAGGAGTAACTAAAGGGAAGAACCCCATCAAACTGGTGACGGATGGAATTGAGCAAGGAAATCAAAGCAGCCACCCAGAGAAAGTTGAAATTAGTGGTGATAGTGTAAATGGGGAAGATGCTATTGATGTTGATGACCATGATGTGAAACTTGCTAAACTATCTCATGCTTCTGGTCAAGCATCTGAAACTTTGGTAAGTGATATATCTGAATCGTTCATTTTTGGTTCCAAGATTTCTTCAGCTTTAAGCTATCGATCTAAACAAATTATACACTTTTATCTTTATGAATGGGTTGTTCATTATATATCAGACATAATATTTTAGTATACTTGAGTGGTTCTGATGCTTCGGCTTTGAATTGGTAATCCTATAAGTAATTTAAGATCTGACTGTTTGCATTGATAGCTTTGCCATATTTCAATCTTAATTGCAAGAAAATCAGTTCATGTTTTAATGTCCTCTTTCATCAAGTTTAACACGTCTTGGACCAGACTTGTATGCCCTTCCCGTTGAGACACAAAAATACTTTATATAGGATGCCATCATGGCAGTGAAATACAACATAGACGTGTTCATTGGTTCAATCCTTTTTCTTCTTTTTCTTTTCTGCTTTTCTTGTTCTTTTTTGGCTTTCACTAATATGTTTTATGTAGTGTCTCAAAAAAAGCGTTAAGGCTGAGACAATCAAAATGGGTAAAAGTTTCATGTTTCCTGGACCATGCTTGTATAATTTCAACTATTTCCTTCCTTGGCCCCCTGAACAAGGAAAAGGGATAAATAAGTGTTACCATCAACATGCATTACTGCATTTTCAAACCATGTTTTTTTCATAAAATGATCTAAATATATTACATTAATAAAATATAGGTTAATCAACCTCAATGCCAACTGAAATTTTCTGCTTTACATTTGGTAAATCTTTCTTTCAGGTCACTAGGCAGGAACAACAACATACTGAATCTTCTGGCAAAGTAAATACGAAAGGGCCTGTACTATCAGTAACCGATAAGCATTATGACCAAACACCATTTGATGCTAGGGTACGGCAACTAAAAGATCAGCTCATCCAGGCTAAGGTATTTCTTTCCCTTCAGGCAGTAAAGAATAATCCCCACCTCACTCGAGAGCTTCGATTACGGGTAAAGGAAGTTTTGCGAACACTAGGAGACGCTAGTAAAGATTCTGACTTGCCTAAGAAGTAAGTGCAGCTTTAAGAATTTTGTTACATATGTCATCAGGTTTTCCTGTTTTGTTATGAGTGTCAAGTTAGTTATTTAATCTTTAAATTTATCATGCAGCTGCATATAAGCATGATAAATTACTCCATTTTGAACCAAGCCACATTTTGTTCAGTCCTTAGTCTTACTTTATACTTAAATTATACTAATGCAGTGCGAACGAGAGAATAAAGGCAATGGAGCAAACATTGATGAAAGGAAGGCAAATTCAAGATGATTGTGCTGCTGCTGTGAAGAAGCTTAGGGCTATGCTCCACTCAACAGAGGAGCAGCTTCGTGTGCACAAGAAGCAGACCTTGTTCTTAACACAGTTGACAGCAAAAACATTGCCTAAAGGTCTCCACTGTCTTCCATTGCGCCTTACAACTGAGTATTATAACTTGAATACTTCTCAACAACAATTCCCGAACCAGGAGAAGTTAGAGGACCCCCGACTATATCATTATGCAATATTCTCAGATAACATTTTGGCAACAGCTGTTGTTGTGAATTCTACTGCTGCCCATGCCAAGGTAAATTATTTCCACAGAAAATTCTTGAGTTGTTTTTATCTGCCAGGATTTGAAACACCATTGAAAATTTGGCATGTCTCTACAGTTACATTACTACTGTGTCCATTTTGACAAAGCAAATGTTTCCATTTCATTTAGCCCCCGAGTTAGTGAAGAATTAAAAATGAAAAGAAAGAAACCGTTTCAATATCAACGGTGACACTTTTATTCTGATTGAAATCACTAATAATGTTATTTTAATAAATTTGCAGGACCCCTCAAAGCATGTTTTCCACATTGTCACTGATAGGCTCAATTATGCAGCAATGAGGATGTGGTTTTTGGTGAATCCACCAGGAAAGGCAACCATTCAAGTTCAGAACATTGAAGACTTTACGTGGTTGAATTCAAGTTACAGTCCAGTTCTTAAACAGTTGGGTTCTCCATCTATGATAGATTATTACTTTAAGACTCATCGGGCAACTTCTGATTCAAACTTAAAGTTTCGGAATCCAAAGTATTTATCTATATTGAACCACCTTCGTTTCTACCTGCCTGAGGTCTTTCCAAAGCTCAACAAAGTACTGTTCTTGGATGATGATATAGTTGTGCAGAAGGATCTAACTGGTCTTTGGTCAATTAATTTGAAGGGAAACGTAAATGGTGCCGTAGAAACTTGTGGAGAAAGTTTCCATCGTTTTGATCGCTATCTCAACTTCTCAAATCCTGTTATTGCAAAGAATTTTGACCCTCGTGCATGTGGATGGGCATATGGTATGAATGTTTTTGATTTGATCGAATGGAAGAGGCAAAACATTACAGAGGTGTACCACAACTGGCAGAAGCTGGTAAGCAACTGCAAGTTTATTTGTCTGAAAAGTCACAATCTGCACGTATACTAAATACAATTTTTGGTGCTTATTTCAAGGTTAAACTTGATTCCGATGAAGATTAAATACATTCACTGTTCTTGTTTTGTTTTATTAATTTGAGTTGTGAACTGATTTTTCTTTCCTAATTAAACTGGCATACAGAATCATGATAGACAACTATGGAAGTTAGGAACACTGCCGCCTGGTCTTATAACATTCTGGAAGCGCACTTTCCCATTAAACCGATCTTGGCATGTCTTGGGCCTTGGCTACAACCCCAATATCAACCAAAAAGATATTGAACGGGCTGCTGTTATACACTACAATGGAAACATGAAACCGTGGCTTGAGATAAGTATTCCCAAGTTCCGAGGTTATTGGACAAAGTATGTTGACTATGATCTTGTGTATTTGCGAGAATGCAACATCAATCCATAGATGGATCTCATGGTATGTTTAATCTTGGAAGTTTTCTTGGTACTAGATATGGTACAATTCACCTTATAGGTCTACAATTCCATCTGTGTAGGGCTTCTATTTTTTAAAGCTTTATGATTCTTTCTGTACACATTTTTCCTGTTTTGCATCAGTCATTTTTGGATTTTGGCATGCAAAAAGATCCACAGCCAAGATTAGGGTATCTATTTGCGACCTTTGACCGCATACCTGCTGAGATGCAATCTGTACTTGTAAATGAAATGTGTCTAGAGTTTTTTCCTCTGGTTGTGTTTTTTATATATTTAATAGCATCCAACATGTATAACCTATGAAGCCCGGACACTTCTTTTGCCTGAGGTGTGTCCAATACCGGTACTTTCCCGACACTTGTTTGACACGTGTCACAAACTCTTCATTACCAGTGAACTTCAAAATTATGTTTTCTAAAAAGTATTTAATTTTGTTTCAATTGTTCAGAAAACTCAGCTTAAAATATAATATAAAATATTAATAAAATAGTATCTCCCAATATGCTTGTAAGGCTCATTATCATAAGAGGTTGAACCTAAAATGATCTAAAAAATTGAATTATCTCTCTATCTTTTGTTGATGTGTTTATATGTAGTTTCATTTAATTTGATCTCTCACAAGCACACATAGAGACAGGCGTTCTGGTGGTAGTTGATGTGCTTAGTTTACATTAGCTGTGTAGGTGTTTGTGTTGGAGTCTGTTGTTCATAGTGTATATAACCCTTGTTTAATCTTGACGGCTTCCTTATTGGGGCATTATCGTAAATGTAGTCGGGTATACCGACAATTTAGTACCACCACTTCACTGAGAACCAGGTGAATGGGTTTGGAAGTTAGTGGTTAAGAAATGTTACTGAAAAGAAAAAGATTGCTTGTTAAGGGAAGGGATAGGAACAGGACCAAAATGAATGAAGTGTAGTAAATAGTATTGCATCATATTGAAAGCAGGGTCCCATAGACAGGCTGTTACAGAGACGTGTATAGAAGAAATGATACCAATAGACCTGATAGAGTTGGGTTTGAAGAACAATGCTTTTCACGTGATGGTGGAACCCATTTTCATTTGTGTGGTGGGGCTCGTGATAAGCACTCCTCACTTGTATTGCATGGTACGTGTACGTGTTCGCGGATCACATCACACCTTCCTATGCCTCACCTTTTCAACCCCTTTCTTTGTATAACTCTCTATGACTCCATCTAAAAACCCCACTTTTAAAAAAAAGCCAAGATTTATGGTTAATGATGTCGGTTGACAATATATTTTTTTATTTATTAATAAAAGAAATAAGTTCCATTGTTGTTTTGTTTGGTGAGATTTGGCTCAAACGTTAAGTTCCTATGGACAAGATAATTAGGTAAACTAAAAGAACCAAAAGGATTAGAATTAGCTGCAGTTAGAGACCCAAAATTGTATGCAGCCTACATAAAATCTCTGTACTATTTCACTCCATATGGTAACGTAGGCAATTTCCTAATTTTCTTTCTTATATCTTCTTCTACGTCAAAGCAGCAATCATATTCATGCTCTCTAGTTGCAATAGAAATGAACAAGTAAAGCTGCAGGAGACTTTTCTCAGTTAACCTTTTTTTTGTTGTCAAAATGAAAAAAAAAAAAAAAAATCACATTATTGCCTTGTAAGCGTTTATATAGAGTTAGTGATTTACGTTTTCGTGAAGTTGAGGCTAAACACGACAATGATTGGGGCATCAGTATCTGTGTCAAATTAAGTATTTGGTGCTTAACAAAGAAAACGTAGTTTTCTTTTCTTATCTGTTTTAATTAAAATGTGGGTCTTTTCATTAAGTTCCCTTAAAATATTATTGACAAGTGTATGGATCAATTGACGCGGGTTAATTAATGCTTTAAAAAGATATCAAGTGATGTGATCTAACAAAAAAGGAGGACTAAATGAAAAATTAATGGAGTGGACATTTGATAATAAAAATATTTTGTGGGAGATTTATTTAAAATTTTAAAAATTCATGGTCTAAATAAAAAATTATAATTTTTTGAGAGATCAAAAATTGATTAAACCTAATAATTATATTCACACTTTTTAAGAAGTAACAAAAATTACGTTCAATACTTTTTTTTAGTATCACCCAGTTCTTTCAATTCATATAACTAAATAAGAAATCAAGGATATATAATGTTGTAGGAATTAAGACATGTGTAAGGTAATAAAATAATGATATCAAGTATAATTTTATTAAATTTCAGGAGAATAAGTATAATTTGCTCTAATAAGTAAGAACTAAAGGGCACAAAAAATCTTGTTCCTAGCGGAATGAAAGATCATCGTTGACCTAAAAACAACCTTCAAAAGAAAACTTGAACTTCCTGCTGAAATTGCCGTGAAAGGAGCTAAAAAAGAGAACAGGATTATAGTTCATTCGGCTAAAAACAGGATCGCATCAGCTCCATGACATCCCTTTCGTCTATAATTGGTGACTATCACGTTTCCAAGACTAAAGACAAGAGAGAAAACATATTTGACTTTTTCTCGTACTAGTTTTGTCAATAATTAATGACGCATATGTTACCGTATGATATTATTATTTTGTTATGCATGAATTTCTTGATGTACAAATAAACATTTCAGTTTTTTTTATATCAAAATCGCTATCTGCTTTGAAGGGGGAAAAAAAGTTGCAGAAAAACACATGAATTGATCATATGATGAATAAGGAATTTGTAAACATACATGATGTGTCCATGGGTGAAAGTAAAAAAATATGTGAATAACCATATATTATGAATACGAAGAAACGCAAAATCAACTATGCTAGAATCTGTTTATTTTATTTTATTGTGTTTTTCTCGTGTATCGTGTTACTTAATATGAAAAATATGGATCCTACTTCTATCTTTGCTGTTCATCTTTGCCTATATTACTCTAACAGCAGTGTGACAAAAGTGGTAGATGAGGTGCCAAAACTTCAAATTACTAACTCTGCGTTGAGCCTTTGCACGGATCAAGATTCTCTTCCCGCTTAAGCAAATTTAGCTTAAGCAAAAAGTATAAAATTTTGCTTGACGACCCGTTCGCGCTAAATCGGGAGAAAATTTCAATCCCTACTTGCACCCACATGCCACATATCTGAAATCCTGTTTGCCTTCATGAGTGAAACTTTAGGTTCAGTTTTTTTTAAATGAATAAAACTTAAGTATAAGTATTCTTTTATTTTTTAATCAAAATTAGAGTTTTATTTCCGTAATAACACAAGTAATAGTCTAATAGATTCTTTTGCTGCTGAGACATTTTCTGTTCACAGATTTACCATATTGTCCATATTTCTTTCTTTTAGAATGCTTTGGATCAATGCCACATTCTCTAGGCCCAATGAATTAGGTCCAAAAATATATATAAAAAAAGAATTTCAGGTGATTAGCCCAAATCTCAACTTTGTGCATATGCTTGTTTAAGTGAGCTTAGGGATTTTTGACCCCAAAACAAAAAAAAAAGTGAGCTTAAGGAAGAGTATGAAGGTGTGGTAAATCTTCTTGTCTTGGAGTAAGGTCTGAAGTTGTGCTAGTTTATTTAGCATTCCTAAAGTTGTTTGAGTGTTAAGGTTAAGAGGAAAAGAAAAAGATATATAAGATTTATAAAAACAAAAAAAGCTTAATATATTAAATTTATGTTAATATATTAATTTTTAATTTTAAAAATGATTAAATAATTTAGTATTGTATACTTCTTTCATTTCCTTTAATCATCTCCTTTTAATTAATATGTAACTTTCTTATTTTCCAATTACTAGCCAATTTCACTCACTTCTATCTCTATCTTCAAGTAAGAGGGTTCAGAGGAAAAGTAATAAATCATTATTGATTCAATGGGAAATTATGTTTTTGAGCTGTTCAGAATATTGAAAAAGGAACATGATTGACTTTATTATCGGTGCAATAGTAAAAGGTAAGGGTGGTGCTTTCTTCTTTTATGTATGTATAAAATTGATTTTTGCTTTGGTGTTAAGAGGAGAAGCTTTTCTTGCATTAGCATCGGCTAAGGTGTGTTCGGGGCTTGGAGACAGCTTGTTGTGGAAGTACATTACACAAGGATTGGAAGAGAGAACCGAAAAGACCAAAGGTGAAAATGGTGCTTACCCTTCACTTCCAAAACCAAATCAAATTCAAATATAGCCAATTGATTTTCATTTCTTCCCGTGCCTAATGATATGATTTCTAAAAGCTGCAAGTATATACAACTGTTTTATTCTTTATCTTGTGGTCCAGATTGGAAATGAAAACATTCAGAAGCGACCATGCAATTCAATCACATAATGATTAAGAGACCATCAAAAGTGACCAAACAATTACAAAATGCCAAAACTTGTCCTATCAAAAATCACCAAGGAATTGGAGACATACACAAGGACTATTGTTGATTAGAAAGAATATAATGATATCTGACTCCTATTTAGTATTATTTTTTATTTGACTAGTTCAAATTCAACAATTTGAGCAGGCAAAAACTATCCCTTTTACCTTCTTTTTATGTGCAAGAGAGGATCATCAATGCAATAACTTCCTTTCAAATATGTCACTCACAAAAGAAGGATTCCCTGAACTAATGCTATCTACATTGTGCTTGAGTGGATATCGCTTCTTATGTCTACTAGTGCAGTTTCTGTAAAGAATTGTTCAATTTTGAAGAGCCTTGGCAAACTAAACTAAAGTCAGCATTAAAATTTGTATAGCCAAGTTCAGTGATTGATTACCCAGAACAAGCCATAGCTTGTCACTTCACCCAAAATAAAAAGAAATAGCTTGCATGCCTTAATTAAATCGGATTTATATAATGTCTGCTTTCGTGTATGACTTGCTTCAAGTATATCACAGGAAGCTTTGCTACTTTAACAACCCAAATAAATTATGAGCATACAACAAATTGTGTATCCATCATCAAACATAGCAAACAAAAAGTTGCACAGTAAATTAACTACTTCTATTGTGCTCCAGAGAGCAATCATTTTGAATGCTGGAAGTAAATGTGTGTATATAAAGCATATGTATAGAGAAATTTTGTTTATTGAAATGTGAGTGTATGTATAAATGTTGGGAAGTATGGGAAGCATGCACTCAATCCACTTCAACACGATTTCTCCACTTTTTTTCCGTCACGTTTTCCCTATTCTGACCATCTCTGTATTTGCACTGTAACAATTGGCAGCCTATACACACTAGGCTTTTAATACATGCATTTTATAAACTCTACAAATATTCAATAAAGATTAGGGAAGGAAATGGGAATATTTTATATATATATATATATATATATATATATATATATAT